CGGGTAGTGAAATGCATGGGACTTGCATAAAAGTCAACCTTTGCATGGAATGCATGCTTTTCTGTAGCAGTTGCGTTTTTGTGACTTGATTCCATACATGTACTACTATATTGAAAACCAAACTTTACTCGTTTGAAAAATACACTAAAATATTGGTGTCACAGGAACTTTTGTTGTTGCGTATATCTAACCATTTTGTCCCATATATCTATTCCTAGCTGTCCCATCTCTACAAGCTGTTCCTGCCATCTGTCTATCTACCAGTTCTTCTCCAACATTCCAGCTATTTCATCTGCAGACCTGTTCCTAAACAGTAATCTTGTCTATTGAGATATTCTATCACTATTTAGCTGCGTCATTGCGGTTCATTACCAGCATTACCCAGATTGTCAGAAGGGCTGTATTCCTGGTAGAAAACCCGGGTACTCTCCCAATGTTAGTCCACAAATTGGGAGGTACCAAACCTAAGGCACCGAGAACAATGGGGCGTCGGATAACTTGGTACTCGGAATACAAGCGTGACATTTCGAAAGCGAGGTCTGCATACTTGCCATGTTTTTCCTGAGTCTTGTCAATCACATTTCTGTTAAAAGGGACAGACAATTCAACACAATAAATGATTTTATTGGATTTTTCAAAAAGGACAAGATCAGGTTTGTTGGCCTAGATAGGTCTGAGGCTGTATAAGGCCTTTTCCAAAGAACTTTGTATTTATCATTTTCCATGACGCTCTCTGCATATTCTGGGTTATACCATGTATGTGCTTCTGTATCAAAACCACAAGCATGGCGAAGACGAATAAAATGATAAAATGCTTAAGATCCTGTGTTTGTGCCAAAGCTGGGCCTCCATTGACAATGTGTTGGACAGTCTCATTGAATTCCTTACATAATCTACATTTCATATTAACATTTTGATGCAAAATCACACACTGACGGTTTCGAGTGGGAAGTGACTGGTCCTGAGCAGCAAACAGAAAGCCTTCTGTTTTATTTTTCATCATATTTCATCATCATCATCATCATCATTGTTAGGGTACCCAGTTTCCCCCGAGTGAGTGAGTTTGGTTTAATGTATAGCAACAGAGTAAAAGGTCAGATGAGTGAGTATGGTTTTACACCGCTTTTATCAATATTCCAGCAATACCACGTCGGTGGACACCAGAAATGGGTTTCACAAATTGTACCCATGTCGGGAATCGAACCTGGGTCTTCGACGTAACGAGCGAACGCTTTAACCACAAGGCTACGCAATCGCCCCTAAAAGGTTAAGTATGCTTGAGTGAGTATGCATGTATTTAGATGCAGACACCAGTCAGTTCAGATCAGCACAGGGTGAGTTCAGTACCTGCCCCAGCGTCGCGGTTTCATTGTTGTTTTTGTATTGCTGTAAGGTTGTATATCACATCATGATGGATGCATATATACTTATTGTAGACCTCCTCCGTGGTATAATAGTAGAGCGTCTGCCCCGAGAGGAGCGGAAGGTCTGGAGTTCGACCCCTTTACCTCTGCACAGCCCTGGTTACCACAGAACGACTGATTCTTGACATTCTGTTGACACAACCTCTGCACAACCCTGGTTACCACAGAATGACTGGTTCTTGACATTCTGTTGATACAACCTCTGCACAACCCTGGTTACCACAGAACGACTGGTTCTTGACATTCTGTTGATACAACCTCTGCACAACCCTCGTTACCACAGAACGACTGGTTCTTGACATTCTGTTGACACAACCTCTGCACAACCCTGGTTACCACAGAACGACTGGTTCTTGACATTCTGTTGATACAACCTCTGCACAACCCTGGTTACCACAGAACGACTGGTTCTTGACATTCTGTTGATACAACCTCTGCACAACCCTGGTTACCACAGAACGACTGGTTCTTGACATTCTGTTGACACAACCTCTGCACAACCCTGGTTACCACAGAACGACTGGTTCTTGACATTCTGTTGATACAAAAACGACTGAATAATAACACTGAACAATTCCAATTCGACTTGGAGCCCAAATGACCGTCTTCACCTCATCTATCCATCAGAGTATCATACCAGAGAAACCATAGCCAGGCTCATCGAGATCTGCACGGAAATTCGAAATAGTGGCAGCCTCTGTACAAGATGATTTTCCCCCGTCATGTCCAGAAACTCCAGCCTATGGCGTCTGCATTTCTCAGTTGTTCAGAGACTTTAGGACATCCAAGGAAATGGGCTTCATAAATTGTACACAGGAGAAGAATTGAACACGGGTCTTCGGCGTAACAAGCGAACGCTTTAACCACTAGGCTACCCGACCGCCCCTTAAGGGCATTACCAGCTCATCACCTTCAACGTCCAATTGAATCTGTTCCAGCAGATATTGCGGTTGATTATTTCTTGGTAGGAATAGACTTACAGCTTCTGGCTTCCAACCAAGATGAAACACAACAATTGTGCAATAGTTATAAATATTTATTCAATCCTGACATGATACATAAAGCACAGGGTCCTCCTGAGTCAAGAATAAAAATAATTAATTTGTTTAACAATACCAGTATAAAACAGAGGCACGTGGTCATCCTGCTTGTCCTGGAACAATGACATGGGCAGGAGATGGCAGGGACAAACATCCGTATCATTCCACACAGACTGTGCTGGCAAGCAATGAGTTTAGAAAATGTACACATGGCCTACTAAGGGGGACAGTGGACATGCGATACTATGACACTGTGAGAGGTGTTCCCAAACTATATCACAAGCCCAGCCCCATTGCCCCACCCACCCACCCACCCCTCCAAATAACAAACGGCCAGTCCCTAAACATAATTGGTTCCAATGTTATGGACATAGATATGTGTTGTTAGATGTTTTGGTTTTGGCAAATAATAGTTACAATGAACACCTCTCAGAAAACACACAAGAATATCTCCGAACTGTTTTAGTTCTGCTAAACCATACTGAACAGCCACACTCGCATATAATCCATCCATATGATGTAAATAGCAGTGTCTGAACCAGACAATACAGTGATTGATATTATGAGCAACGATCAACACCATCAGGGCAGAATGACTTGCCCACAGCCAAGTTACCCGTCCTGTCCACCCGATCCATTTAATGGCCTTCACCTCCCGCTAGAGTTGCTAGGGAGAAGCTTGGGTTGCTAGGGAGAAGCTTGGGTTGCTAGGGAGAAGCGTGGGTTGCTAGGGACTGCTGTTACAATAACAAATCAACGGCACATTGATACAATCATACACTGGTAAAATGTTGCTCTGAACTAAACATGGAATGCAAATGAACACAAGCATATAGGTGTATACATCATTTGTCCAATATCAATGTCAATATCAATATCAATAGCAATATCAAAGATGCTGGCCCCCCAGACTTTGTCCCACCAGACCTCTGTCAGGCAAAGATGCATCTCTCGCCTCCCCAGTCTTTGTCCCAGCACTATTATGCAGGACATAAACAAATCATGAATAAATACATATATTATTAGTTTCAACAAACTAATTTATGATTGCCAGCATTTCAAAGGTGTCGTTGCCCATCAAGGGAATCCTTATCCACACTGATAGCAAGAGCTGGTCAAATATCTATAGTTAATATATATGTCTATGTTACCATGTTACACACACTGTGTTATGTGTGTGTAACCATGACAATAGTTGTAAGTTTGGCGGGATAAATATAGTTAAGGTATGTACTGGGTTTTTTATCACACATCCTCTACACTAGGATGGGTGGTTCTAGCATAGGAGGGGTGGTTGTACAATAGGAGGGGGGGTTCTACAACAGGAGGGGTGGTTCTACAACAGGAGGGGTGGTTCTACAATTGGAAGGGGTGGTTCTACAACAGGAGGGGTGATTCTACAACAGGAGGGGTGGTTCTACAATTGGAGGGGGTGGTTCTACAACAGGAGGGGGTGGTTCTACAACAGGAGGGGTGGTCCTACAACAGGAGGGGTGGTTCTACAACAGGAGGGGTGGTTCTACAACAGGGGAGGGTCTACAACAGGAGGGGTGGTTCTACAACAGGAGGGGTGGTTCTACAACAGGGGAGGGTCTACAACAGGTGGGGTGGTTCTACAACAGGGGAGGGTCTACAATAAGAAGGGGTGATTCTACAATAGGAGGGAGTGGTTCTACAGTAATAGGGGGTGGTTCTACAATAGGAAGGGGTGGTTTTACAATAGGAGGGAGTGGTTCTACAGTAATAGGGGGTGGTTCTACAATAGGAAGGGGTGGTTTTACAATAGGAGGGAGTGGTTCTACAACATCACACCATCACACAGGTCCCTTCTTTTGATTTTCCCTGAAGTTGAATACATTATAAAATGTAATGAGGTAATGCCTGGTAATGACTCTGGTTTGTATGGAGATTAAATAGTAAATATGAATATTGCTACAACAATTAAACATTCAGATTACACACAAGAATTCACAATAATATATAAACATCCACATAGTGTTTACAGGGTTGATTTTCTTCATGTAACCATGGTAACAAAGCCATCAGACAAACCAAGTTGGACAAAAAAAAACATATATTAAATCATGTTTGAAAAAGTCAAATTAATAAGTACAAAAATATGATTTCTAAAACATTTAAGACTATAAGCCATATGACATAAGTAGATATGAGCATCTCATACAAAACAAATATATCCACTAAAGTATATTTTAACATAAGGAATTCCTTCCTACAAAAGTCACATACAATACTCAGCATATTTAGCAGGGCAGGGGTCAGACTTGGGGTCAGTCTATGTCAGCTGCTGTTAGGACAGGACTCATACATTCCTGACTGTAAACCCTGGGGTAGGGCAGTGACTTACAGCACAATAGCAAGGCAACTGTCACCAGCAGTGACAGAGGTATTCCCAAGGTGGCGATCCTTCCCCCCCCCCCCCCCCCCCCCTCCCCACCACAAGGAGGCAGCCCCTCATGGGAGAGTTCAGGCCTTAATACACACCATAAATATTATTTTATTTATCAGTTTTTTTATCTTTATGAGTAACGATGAGTTCTTTCCATGTGACAAACATCTGCACGCAATAACGTGAATCATTTCTTAACAGAACCAATCTCATTGAGTGAGTGAGTGGTTTTATGCACACTTTTAGCAATATTCCAGCAATATCATGTGGGGAGCACTAGAAATGGACTTCACACATTGTACCCATGTCAGGAATCAAACCCGGGTCTCATTGAGTGGCCGACCATCAGATATTCAAGGAGGGATAAATTCTTGAGAAAAAAAAACTAGGCTTCAGACTGTGAACAAAAAAAGAAACCGGCTCCCACAAAAATTGCTGTAGCTGAAAGAACGTAATCTTGAAAGCAAATGACAGGCCCTCCCCAGGCCCTCCCCAAGCCCTCCCCAGGCCCTCCCCAGGCCCTCCCCAAGCCCCCAACTATCTCTACTGTGTTTACAGGAGACATCCTGGCTAAATAGGCTGAGGAAGGGAATACGAGATGAAGAGGGAAAAACTGAAAATCGGCACACATGAATCACAGATTCCTGAATACATACAATAAGTTAATGTGTACTTGTGAAGAAATCGTTTAGCACCTCTTAAACACATTACCTGATACAGAATGGAATATCCCGAAGACAATGAATAGGTTTATAAAAAGGGCTGTTGAAATAGGCCCTAGGAAGGCTGACAGTTTCGGTTACAGAAATAATACATTTAAAAATGTTTCCAATTGGTAACAAATGTTGACATTTCCCTGCAGGTAGACACTGATTGTTCCACTAAATGTGTGGGACTAAAACCAATTGAACCAAACATGGCGGAGCTTGCTGCCGATTTACTCCGCCTACGTCCCAACACTGTAGGACTTTTGCCATGTTTACCAACTTCAATCACGAATTGATTCATAAAGAAAGCAATGGCTGCGTTTCACAATCAGGACACAACAAACTCCCCACTCTATGGGATATGTATATATAATATATATGTATGTGTACATCATATCGATTCATCTTGTTTACATAAAGGAAAGGACCTTCACATGAACAAGCAACACAACCTGATTCCCTGAGGAAGTAGTCACCCTTATGTTCCACATTAAACCTCATATCATCCGAGCTAGTTGTGGAGCACACTGCCCTGCATCAGCCAGTCTGTCCAGTAGATACCTCCATCCTACCATCCTGCATCACCCAGTCTGTCCAGTAGATACCTCCATCCTACCATCCTGCATCACCCAGTCTGTCCAGTAGATACCTCCATCCTGCATCACCCAGTCTGTCCAGTAGATACCTCCATCCTGCATCACCCAGTCTGTCCAGTAGATACCTCCATCCTGCATCACCCAGTCTGTCCAGTAGATACCTCCATCCTACCATCCTGCATCACCCAGTCTGTCCAGTAGATACCTCCATCCTGCATCACCCAGTCTGTCCAGTAGATACCTCCATCCTGCATCACCCAGTCTGTCCAGTAGATACCTCCATCCTGCATCACCCAGTCTGTCCAGTAGATACCTCCATCCTGCATCACCCAGTCTGTCCAGTAGATACCTCCATCCTGCATCACCCAGTCTGTCCAGTAGATACCTCCATCCTACCATCCTGCATCACCCAGTCTGTCCAGTAGATACCTCCATCCTGCATCACCCAGTCTGTCCAGTAGATACCTCCATCCTGCATCACCCAGTCTGTCCAGTAGATACCTCCATCCTGCATCACCCAGTCTGTCCAGTAGATACCTCCATCCTACCATCCTGCATCACCCAGTCTGTCCAGTAGATACCTCCATCCTGCATCACCCAGTCTGTCCAGTAGATACCTCCATCCTGCATCACCCAGTCTGTCCAGTAGATACCTCCATCCTGCATCATCCAGTCTGTCCAGTAGATACCTCCATCCTGCATCACCCAGTCTGTCCAGTAGATACCTCCATCCTACCATCCTGCATCACCCAGTCTGTCCAGTAGATACCTCCATCCTGCATCATCCAGTCTGTCCAGTAGATACCTCCATCCTGCATCACCCAGTCTGTCCAGTAGATACCTCCATCCTGCATCACCCAGTCTGTCCAGTAGATACCTCCATCCTGCATCACCCAGTCTGTCCAGTAGATACCTCCATCCTACCATCCTGCATCACCCAGTCTGTCCAGTAGATACCTCCATCCTGCATCACCCAGTCTGTCCAGTAGATACCTCCATCCTGCATCACCCAGTCTGTCCAGTAGATACCTCCATCATGCATCACCCAGTCTGTCCAGTAGATACCTCCATCCTACCATCCTGCATCACCCAGTCTGTCCAGTAGATACCTCCATCCTGCATCACCCAGTCTATCCAGTAGATACCTCCATCCTGCATCACCCAGTCTGTCCAGTAGATACCTCCATCCTGCATCACCCAGTCTGTCCAGTAGATACCTCCATCCTGCATCACCCAGTCTGTCCAGTAGATACCTCCATCCTGCATCACCCAGTCTGTCCAAAATACCTCTAATTTCTAATTTACATGTAGCCCGCTGAGAAATCAATTGGAACAAACCTTATCCGGCAAAAGTATCGTTGAGCTGAAATACAGCAATGTTTATTCGAATGCATTGGCTAAGGGGAAGTAACTCTGTGTGTACACATCTGCTAGCTGTCAACATGGCTGCCTACTTCAGTATCCGGTGTTATTTACTCAAGACAAGTGTAACAAGTTTTGCAGACTCAGTGAAACTGAGGACATGTACTCCCGGTCTGCCTGAATGAATGTTGGTGAGATAAATTCCCTGTCAACCGATCCCTCGGGGCATAATGTGCGATCATATCTAGCATCACACAATTTGAATCAGATACAAAACGGAGCAAGGTTAGCAAATGGGTCGAGGGTATTTTTCACAAATAACAGAATGGAGGCATTGTACACTTGATAATGGAGGATGCACACATTGTAAACCCCACAAGCACTGGGGTGATACAGAGATACAGACAGCGAAGGTGGGAACCAATCAGAATCCTCCTCTCTTGGATGTAGCTACTTCCATGTTTACACTCAACTGGATTAAGATACTCACAAAGGACTGGCCACTGACCAACAACACACACTGCAGACGATCGTTTCCACAGTTGTGCGCTGCTGCTGCCGCTGCTCCTTCTAGCCTCAGGGCAATCATGACCATTGTGTCACCAACAGCCAGTATGGCTTCCACTGGGCAGTGCTCAACATGTGAGCAGAATCAATGTACAAAAATCTTAAGGATTCCCAGTGTGCATACATGGGATTTGATCAATTTCTCTTCAGAACAAATTCTGCGAACATGGAGAAGACTGGCATCAAGGAATGGCAAGACCAAGCTTCAGGTTATCACCTCTCGGCCACCTACTCATTCTTGGAACGTGTGTCCTTCTTCCTGACGAAGTCACTCATCAACACACGATAAAACAGGATTATGTTCATCAGTGTGAGAACGGCCAGCCCCACGCTGCCCATCGTGTAGAACAACAGGGGAACATGGTCCTTGTTGATGACGATCCACCGCGTCATCCACGCCAGCAGCGTGATGCGACACACAATGAAGGTGCCTGTAAACAGAGAAGGTTGCCATAGCAACAGGAGCTTGAACACACAAACATAAACATGGAGTTTTCGGCACTGAACAGATACCACCAATAATCAGGCCGGCTGAGTAACATACCAACATTGATCAGGCCGGTTGTGAAGCTTACCAACATTGATCAAGCCGGTTGTGAAGCTTACCAACATTGATCAAGCCGGTTGTGAAGCTTACCAACATTGATCAGGACGGTTGTGAAGCTTACCAACATTGATCAAGCCGGTTGTGAAGCTTACCAACATTGATCAAGCCAGTTGTGAAGCTTACCAACATTGATCAGGCCGGTTGTGATGCTTACCAACATTGATCAGGTAGTGAAGCTTACCAACATTGATCAGGCCGGTTGTGAAGCTTTCCAACATTGATCAGGTAGTGAAGCTTACCAACATTGATCAGGTAGTGAAGCTTACCAACATTGATCAGGCCGGTTGAGTAACATACCAACAATGATCAGGTAGTGAAGCTTACCAACATTGATCAGGTAGTGAAGCTTACAAACATTGATCAGGCCGGTTGTGAAGCTTACCAACATTGATCAGGCCAGTTGTGAAGCTTACCAACATTGATCAGGCCGGTTGTGAAGCTTACCAACATTGTTCAGGCCAGTTGTGAAGCTTACCAACATTGATCAAATGGTTGAGTGACTTTCCAACATTGATCAGGCCGGTTGTGAAGCTTACCAACATTAATCAGGCCAGTTGTGAAGCTTACCAACATTGATCAAGCCGGTTGAGTAACTTACCAACATTGATCAACCCCGTTGGGTAACTTACCAACATTGATCAAGCCAGTTGAGTAACATACCAACATTGATCAGGACTTTTGTGAAGCTTACCAACATTGATCAGGCCGGTTGTGAAGCTTACCAACATTGATCAGGCCAGTTGTGAAGATTATCAACATTGATCAAGCCGGTTGTGTAACTTACCAACATTGATCAAGCCGGTTGTGAAGCTTACCAACATTGATCAGGCCAGTTGTGAAGCTTACCAACATTGATCAGGCCGGTTGTGTAACTTACCAGCATTGATCAGGCAGGTTGTGAAGCTTACCAACATTGATCAGGCCGGTTGTGAAGCTTACCAACATTGATCAGGCCGGTTGTGAAGCTTACCAACATTGTTCAGGCCAGTTGTGAAGCTTACCAACATTGATCAAATGGTTGAGTAACTTTCCAACATTGATCAGGCCGGTTGTGAAGCTTACCAACATTAATCAGGCCAGTTGTGAAGCTTACCAACATTGATCAAGCCGGTTGAGTAACTTACCACCATTGATCAACCCCGTTGGGTAACTTACCAACATTGATCAAGCCGGTTGTGTAACTTACCAGCATTGATCAGGCAGGTTGTGAAGCTAACCAACATTGATCAGGCCAGTTGTGAAGCTTACCAACATTGATCAGGCCAGTTGTGAAGCTTACCAACATTGATCAGGCCAGTTGTGAAGCTTACCAACATTGATCAGGCCAGTTGTGAAGCTTACCAACATTGATCAGGCCAGTTGTGAAGCTTACCAACATTGATCAGGCTGGTTGTGAAGCTTACCAACATTGATCAGGCCAGTTGTGAAGCTTACCAAAATTGATCAGGCCAGTTGTGAAGCTTACCAACATTGATCAGGCTGGTTGTGAAGCTTACCAACATTGATCAGGCCAGTTGTGAAGCTTACCAACATTGATCAGGCCGGTTGTGTAACTTACCAACATTGATCAGGCCGGTTGTGTAACTTACCAACATTGATCAGGCCGGTTGTGTAACTTACCAACATTGATCAGGCCGGTTGAGTAACTTACCAACATTGATCAGGCCGGTTGTGTAACTTACCAACATTGATCAGGCCGGTTGAGTAACTTACCAACATTGATCAGGCCGGTTGTGTAACTTACCAACATTGATCAGGCCGGTTGTGTAACTTACCAACATTGATCAGGCCGGTTGTGTAACTTACCAACATTAATCAGGCCAGTTGTGAAGCTTACCAACATTGATCAAGCCGGTTGAGTAACTTACCACCATTGATCAACCCCGTTGGGTAACTTACCAACATTGATCAAGCCGGTTGTGTAACTTACCAGCATTGATCAGGCAGGTTGTGTAACTTACCAACATTGATCAGGCCGGTTGTGTAACTTACCAACATTGATCAGGCCGGTTGTGTAACTTACCAACATTGATCAGGCCGGTTGTGTAACTTACCAACATTGATCAGGCCGGTTGTGTAACTTACCAACATTAATCAGGCCAGTTGTGAAGCTTACCAACATTGATCAAGCCGGTTGAGTAACTTACCACCATTGATCAACCCCGTTGGGTAACTTACCAACATTGATCAAGCCGGTTGTGTAACTTACCAGCATTGATCAGGCAGGTTGTGTAACTTACCAACATTGATCAGGCCGGTTGTGTAACTTACCAACATTGATCAGGCCGGTTGTGTAACTTACCAACATTGATCAGGCCGGTTGAGTAACTTACCAACATTGATCAGGCCGGTTGTGTAACTTACCAACATTGATCAGGCCGGTTGTGTAACTTACCAACATTGATCAGGCCGGTTGTGTAACTTACCAAGATTAATCAAACTGTTCATCCTGTAGAAACTGTTATCTTTTTGAAAACCTTGAATCTGCAGGATCTGCCGGAGGTGGAGGAAGATGCTGTTCACCTCAACTATGAGCCCAACCACTGCGTAGCCCACATACATGTGTGTTGTTATGGCAACCATATAACACATGAGGAGCTGCAAGGACACCAACACATGGACCATCACACAGGGGAGACAACTGAGGGGTTAGGGTTCAACACCAAACCTGTTAGAATTTCAGGAAAATCACAGCAGACTGTTTTATTGGAGGTAAAACCAAAGAGATGTTTCTCACCACTGCATGATGCCCGAGGAGTTCAAGGCTTTGTCTGGTCCGCTGGTACAGCAGCATGTCCACCACATCATACACAAAGTAGCCTGAAACACACACGAGGTCAGAAGGTCAACCCACCTCCAAACGAGGGTCAAAACAGAAGGTCAACACACCTCCAAACAGGGTCAGAACAGACATCTTCCACACAAGGTCAACACACCTTCACACGAGGGTCAGAACAGACGTCTTCTGCACAAGGTCAACCCACCTCCACACAAGGTCAACACAACTCCACAAGAGGGTCAGAACAGACATCTCCCACACAAGGGCAACACACTTCCACAAGAGGGTCAGAACAGACATCTCCCACACAAGGTCAACACACCTCCACAAGAGGGTCAGAATAGTCGTCTTCCACACAAGGTCAACACACTTCCACACGAGGGTTAGAACAGACGTCTTCCACACAAGGTCAACACACCTCCACACGAGGGTCGGAACAGACGTCTTCCACACAAGTTCAACACACTTCCACACGAGGGTCAGAACAGACATCTCCAACACAAGGTCAACACACCAGACGTCTTCAACACAAGTCCCCTGTCTTCAACACAAGGCCCCATGGCTGACATGAAGTCTTCAAAACAAGGCCCCTGGCGGACATGAAGTCTTCAACACAAGGCCCCATGGCTGACATGAAGTCTTCAACACAAGGCCCCATGGCTGACATGAAGTCTTCAATACAAGGCCCCTGGCAGACATGAAGTCTTCAACACAAGGTCCCTGTCAGACATGAAGTCTTCAACACAAGGCCCCTGGCTGACATGAAGTCTTCAACACAAGGCCCCATGGCAGACATGAAGTCTTCAATACAAGGCCCCTGGCAGACATGAAGTCTTCAATACAGGAGGGTGGGTGACAGGAGGGGACGGAGAAAGAAGAGACAGGGAGAAGGAGACAAGAGGGGGGTGGAAGAGGTGGAGGGATGAAGAGGGGGGAGGGTGGAAGAGAGGAGGGGGAGGGGAGGGAGGATGAAGAGACAGGGAGAGGAAGACAAGAGGGAGGTGGAAGAGGTGGAGGGATGAAGAGAGGGGAGGGTGGGAGACAGGAGGGGGAGGGAGGAAGAAGCGACAGGGAGAGGGAGGACAAGAGGGAGGGGGGAGGTGGAAGGATGAAGAGAGGGGGAGGTTGGGGGGATGGAGGAAGAAGAGACAGGGAGAGGAAGACAAGTGGGAGGGGGAGAGGTGGAGGGATGAAGAGAGGGGAGGGTGGGAGACAGGAGGGGGGGGGAGAAGAGTCAGGGAGAGGGAGGACAAGTGGGAGGGGGGAGGTGGAAGGATGAAGAGAGGGGGAGGTTGGGGGGATGAAGGAAGAAGAGACAGGGAGAGGAAGACAAGAAGGAGGGGGGAGGTGGAGGGATGAAGAGAGGGGGAGGTTGGGGGGATGGAGGAAGAAGAGACAGGGAGAGGAAGACAAGTGGGAGGGGGGAGGTGGAAGGATGAAGAGAGGGGGAGGTTGGGGGGATGGAGGAAGAAGAGACAGGGAGAGGAAGACAAGAGGGAGGGGGGCGGTGGAGGATGAAGAGATGGGGGAGGTTGGGGGGATGGAGGAAGAAGAGTCAGGGAGAGGAAGACAAGAAGGAGGGGGGAGGTGGAGGGATGAAGAGAGGGGGAGGTTGGGGGGATGGAGGAAGAAGAGTCAGGGAGAGGAAGACAAGTGGGAGGGGGGAGGTGGAAGGATGAAGAGAGGGGGAGGTTGGGGGGATGGAGGAAGAAGAGACAGGGAGAGGAAGACAAGTGGGGGGAGGGGGAGAGGTGGAGGATGAAGAGATGGGGGGGGGAGACAGGAGAGGGATGGAGGAAGAAGAGACAGGGAGAGGAAGACAAGTGGGAGGGGGAGAGGTGGAGGATGAAGAGAGGGGGGTGGGAGACAGGAGGGGGAGGGAGGAAGAAGCGACAGGGAGAGGGAGGACGGAGAGGTGGAGGGGTGAAGAGAGGGGAGGGTGGGAGACAGGAGGAGGAGGGAGGAAGAAGTGACAAGGAGAGGGAGGACAAGAGGGAGGGATGAAGAGAGGGGGAGGGTGGGAGACAAAAGGGGGAGGGGAGGGAGGAAGAAGAGACAAGGAGAGGGAGGACAAGAGGGAGGGGGGGAAGAGGTAGAGGGATGAAGAGAGGGGGGACAAGAGGGAGGGGGAGGAAGAGAGGAAGAGGGAGGGGGGGAGACAGGAGGGAGAGGGGGAGGAAGGAAGAAGAGACTGGGAGAGGGAGGACAAGAGAGAGGGGGAAGAGGTGGAGGGAGGAAGGGGGAAGGAGGACAAGAGGGAGGAAAGAAAAGATGGAGGAAGAGAGGGAGAAATATTGATCTGTTCCAATCTCATTAAAATCAGATCTTAGTTCTCGCTATCGCTAAACAAAGATCTGAGGACATCCCATGCCGGGTCACGTCAGAACGACCTTTCATCCAAGCAATCAGAGCGTCGCTTACCACATCATGAAAGTGACAGACGGAATCGGTTTTCTGATCATGCAAACTCGAAATATTTAACAGAGAGTATTCCGAACGACAGTTATGGGTTTTATATTTTATCCATACAATCTAGGCCATCTGTAAGCCATTCGAGAATGTTCTTTTTATCAGTTTTAAAATTTTTAACCAAGAATACGTCAAAATATGTTTCCAAGCGTAGTCGCCAGTTTGAAACTAGTGTCATAATGCTCGAAAAAGCTTTCTTCTGATTGGCTAATGTCTATTTCTTGTCAGTCATTTCATTGATCGATTAAAGTTCGTGAGAGGTCGTTCTGACGTGACCTGTAATGGGATGTCCTCAGATCTTTGTTTAGCGGTAGCGAAAACGAAGATCTGCTTTTAATGAGATTGGATCTGTTCTGTAGATTTGCAGATTGTGTTATGTGAAATATTGATCTGTTCAGATTTGTAGATTGTGTTATGTGAAATATTGATGGGTTCAGTTGATTTGTAGATTGTGTTATGTGAAATATTATCTGTATGGTAGATTTGTAGATTGTGTTATGTGAAATATTGATCTGTTCAGTAGATTTGTAGATTGTCTTATGTGAAATATTTACAGTTAACAAACCTATTTAGTCATCAAATACACATTAAAAGTGCTGAGCATTCAAAATGGCATTTTTATATTTCTTACAAAAACATATTATTAAACTTGATCAATTTACAAAACAAATAAGATCAATGTCACAAAGTTTATCTTGGTTGTCAAAGACAACTTGAACATGCATTACCACTTTTCAAAACAGGTCATATCATTGGCATTGCATTCAATTAATTTTGTTAGAACCTTTGTTGGGAAGAATTTAAAGTTATTAGCTCTTGTAGACAACTATGATTAACTTATAAATGTAAAAGTTAGTAATACTCGTGATCAATGTGGCGAAATAAATACACTGGAACACTTAATTATATTGTCTAAATATCCATCAGGTTTGAAATGTTACATTTGATGCTGAGAAATGCTTAATCAAAAATATGTTATCTTCCGTTTTCAATTATATTTAACTAACTGACAAGTTTGTTTCCTTATAGTTGAAGAGTAACGAATGGAAACGTTACTGTTGATCATTTTATTAATAAACTTACAGAATATGTCAATATGTCAACACTTCGACACATCAATATGCCAACATGTAAATATTCTGGAGAAAATTAAACTTTAATTTTACTGTTACATAACATAAACATTTTTCTCAAGCAATAAAGGAAAATACACGTACATCAATAACAAGAATAACTGCCTCAAGACATAGACTTGCAGATGTCTCTATGGCAATAAATATTAGTTTCAATCGAGATTATATAAACAATATATAATCTATAAGAACAAGCTGCCCCCACAAAGAAAGGCGTCCTAATGACAACTTACTGTCCGCTTATCTAGACTTGCCTTTCGTGATGACAGAATAACTACACATCCATGGACTTATCTTTCAGTTCAGCCTGGGAGCAAGGTTACTCTAGTTCTAGCAACTTGAAATTTTAAGGGCAAAACTGCATAAACCATGCTGTATTATGTAAACGAAGTGAAGAACACACACAAAGTGAAAAAAGTATGAGTATCCGAGTCTGCTCCTTGAAGCCTAATGGCCTACCGATATGTATTTACTTTTGAAAGAACCAATCAAGTGGTTGTGTTATTGATATCTAAATTTTTATCAGCTTAATAGTTCTAGATGTTTTCCTGTCAATATCAATAGTTATCAAATTGTGAACCAGCTCCTAAACATGTTCATTACATTTCGCCACAGTCGCCGTCGACGGCGCTGATTAACAACATTGTTGTCACGTGTTTGACCCGCTGCTAAACGATCGGGTCACGTGGGATGCCAGTTGCATAAGCAAGAACTAGGTCACGGTTTAAACAGCAAAATCATCACTTACATAATCAGAATTGTGACAACTTACCGACTGAAAATGAAATCAGAGTGTAGGAAAATGAAGAATACGTTGTTATCATGTCTTCTGCAAGTTTTGGCGTCTCGTAAAAGCTGAAAGATATTTACAGTGAATGTTAGCACGAACATAGGCTACCGCATGCAGTGCAAAGTGTTTAAAACTATACAACATTTGAGATCAATCAAGGAATTTACACTTAAAAATATCAAATTTGTAACGTACTCACCACATAATAGACCAGCTACCACTGATGCAAGCGTGCGTAAATGACACTATCGTATTTTTCCATCTCCAAGGTGCGTGTTTCGCAGATTCCGAAATACAGGCAGCCGCAACTCTACCAATCAAATAAAAAAGTACTGCAGAACAGTTTATTACCAGAAGTCCATATGACAATCCAGTATATTTAACTGGCCAGATTTCGTTCGACGTAGTACTGTCATCCATTTTGACGATCTTGTGAGATAACAAGAAGCTTGTGTTATCAAGCACACAGATTGTCCATGTCAACCAGGCCTCGGGGAAATTATGTCAAAGATACCACTTCCCTTTCAACATACTAGAATGGAAAGTTAACGCCTGCGACCTTTTTTAATAATCTCTAGTGAGACTAGTGTATGAAGGAAATGATATCTTTTGTTTTATTTCATCATATTTGTTTCGTAATCAGATTAAATAAATGCACGAGAGGAATTGCCATTTATTTTTTATTTGGTACACTTCATTATCAGCTTCGACTTTTGGGACCAGAAGTAATTTACGTGGCTGTGACACACATGTCCCGCTAATCATCAGTTTGATTTATTGTGCTTTACACAAATACTGAACAACCTTAATACATTTAGACAAAGATGTGAAATTGAGATCCATCTGAACAAAATTTAATAACGTTTATTAAATACAAAAGTATGTTATATGTTGTTCGACTAATAGCACCAAACGAAGGAATTAGAACTCGTCTTGAGTAGATTTGAACATTCATAGCAATCTCTATAAGAATATTTTAAAAAAACTCCCCAAAATAGGCCGCTGAAACGTGCAAGTCAATGCCACATTTACGATCAATACGATGTTCTTTCCCAAAGTTTTTAGTGGTAGTCGTCGAAGTACAAGATCTAACAATTTTCAAACAATTTCCAGAAACAAATGTTATATTTGGAATAACGCTTTCCCAGCAAAATATAAATTCTACTCTATTAGTTTTTTTAGTTGAATCCCACCTGGGATTCTGACCACACTCACAGCCGCTTCCACGCTCACTGGGACAGATCGCTGACTTGTGTGCTGTCGATTAGGTGCCTAGAATTTGTACTTTCCTGAGTATGCGTTATCCCAAATAAAACATTTGTTACATGTGACCGCTTTCTAAAAAAGCATATATTCAATGTACAGAAAAATTTAAGTCGTAAACTCAGTTTTCCCTATCTATTTCAGAGTTCCAGTAGATATAGGAGGACAAATCCCAAAATGTAACGTTTCTTATGATCTTGAAAAAACTATTGTCACGTGACATATATCTAAGGCATCGTATGAATGTCAAGAAGGAACCAAGTCAGCGAGCATGACCACCCGACCCCATTAGTCGCCTCTTACGACAAGCATAGTCGCCTTTTACAGCAAGAATGGGCTGCTTAAGTAAAGGATCAAAACCGACTTGGAGGTCTTGACGGGAAATGTAAGCACTGGGAGAAGGGAAATTAGGGAGGGCGATTTCCCGTCAAGACCGAGAAGGAGGTTTTGATGATGATGATTATGATGATTAGTAAAATGTTTTATAGGTGTTCGGCCCATTTACACCTTGCCCATAATAAAGGTTTGCTAAGTACCTGGATATTTTATAAAGTATCATCTGCGAAGTAACTGATAGGTATAAAAAAAATTAAATAAATATAAAGAAGAAAACACATTTCTCGGACATTTTTTGGAGAAATCAGTCTACATGGTATTTTATTATTTGGGATACCTTGAAATTGCACGAAATGATCATTGGAACATTGCAGAAAGCCGTAAAATCAATTTGTTTTATCAACTGTTCGTAAGGTATCACAATAGTGATGCAGATTTTTCACCTACTACAAATCGGGTGACCCTGATGACTGAAAATTTGCTGAAAACCGTTTAAATAAATCTGATAACCGCGATATGACAACAAAATATTGTATGTTTTGAAATGTTCATAGTATTTTCGAAAAACCTCTTATCTATGTACTCTAGCAAGCGGGTCAGATGAATATGTGTTATATCACTGTTTGAACATATGTTTCAGTGCATAGAAGTGATGCCGTACGTACGTATAAACGTACTTCAGACGAGCAAAAGAGGACCCTGTCGGACATCATTGCCAAAAAGAGGAAGCAGGATGTTAGCTCTGAGCCGACGCCGATTGTAACTGAAACGTCTAAGCCCGAGACTTCCCCCGAGAAAGATGAAATGGATATTGGTCGTCGTTTTGTTCTCAATTTCACTTTTCATTAAACCGACTTCATAAGTGTTGCTTTCATTAATTTACACTTTGAGGCATTTGGGAAACGAGGTTTGTCCCTAGGCCCATCTGCACAACGTGATTTTAGTGCTAAAACTATTTTAAACTACTTAACTTGGGAAACTCAAACATTAGCACTAAAATCGCTTTGCGCATCTGAAGCCATTCTGCTGGTAAGACCCGGGCATTCTGCCAGTAAGACCCGGGCATTCTGCCGGTAAGACTTGTGGGAACAATAGAGGAGTTTACCTCCGCAGAGAAGAGACTGTCTGAACAATGGAGTGACGTCATCAAAGGTTTATAAGACCTATTCTTCCCCGGATCTCCACGGGTCCACACAAGTTAACTCCCGTGTTTGTTTTGTGGTTGAGAAAGTTACATGGGGATGAGTAATGAGTTTGGAAGATGTAACCAAACTTTTAAAATAAACTTAATCTTTGTTTCACATCAATTTAATTTGATAATGTGAAGTTTACACGATATACGGCTTTTCCATTGGACAAAGGTCGGTCACATGACTGCGAAACCGAAGTTCATTTTAAGGATTGACTGTTCATTTATTTCGGTTCATTGAGGTATGAGTCGAGCACCGATGTGCAAACTGTATGAATCTGCGTAGCGGATTCCTACAAACGTTTGCACATCGGTTTGTCAACAGTATCATGAATATCACTATGATTGTGTGCACTTGTTCTTTGAAAACAATAACAATTCTTTCAGGAAGTCATTGTTGTGAACACATTTTACAAGTTTTGTTTTCATAATATGTTTGTTTTCTACTTTTATATCACATAAATATTTAAACTGAAATATGCCATATTCTCATTACTGATTCTGAAGTACCACCTGCAAATTACAATTTGTTTCACTTCCTGGGTCACACATGTGCGCTTTATGACAGTATAGGTACCTGCATCAATAGGCAAGTATACTTCGAAATTACCTTTAGCAGCATTGATCTTCTGGATCAAAGTTATCTGGTGGCTGCAGCAACACCTAATTAAACGAGTCCAAGAATATGTTATTATGGGTTTTCCATAAACACGGAGTGTGGCTACATTTTGTATTAAATACAAAACCGCGCCCAAAACGTCAAAACGACAACACACGAGGAAAGCATCGTCAAATTGGCGAAATAAGAGAATAAGCCAGTACATACATTATAGACGTAGGAGGGTACCGCGACAACACTTGAACGTAACCACTCACTCACTCACTCACTATGTCACACGAATATAAACATGAAATCATCATTATGGCGACACAGAATTAATGATTGGCTTTCACACATGTGTAAATAGAAATTGTCAATGCAGGAGAATAACCAGACAAGATTTCCTGCCGAATCAGATTTCACTTGGAATTAAAAAGGACCTCTGAAAATCAGTGATGACACCAGATCTGGCTTCGTGTGCTGGCGATTAGTTGCCTCACTCTGGCAGTGTGGACTCAATCCCCCAAAAGGTACTAGAATTTCCACTTTACAAAGAAAGTGTTATCCCAAATATAACATTTGTTACATTGACCACTTTCTACATGGCATTGTGTTCATGACACCAGGTGATCGCGAAAAGGGTAAGCATGTCCTGCCCAACCGGTAGCACCCGCCATTCATAGAATTTGCATAAAATAGTAAGTATGTATTGCCTGTAGCAGCACAACACCTACATGTCAACATTCACCCAGGTTCTCATGCACTAACGCACTGTGTTGGCCATGCCCACGTAGTGCCTTTCCCTTGCGTCTCCGCATCACTGACACAAGACTCGCCGGGACATGCCCCGGATGCCCTGCCTCAATACCTAGTTGGGGGTGCCAGGCATGAAAATAGGGGTCCCGGCTCCCGTTCCACAAACCGATCTTTACCTCTACGGCTGCCAAAATAACACCCTGGGATGACAACTGCATTTTGTTTGTTTGTTTGTTTGTTTGTTGTTTAACGCCGCACTAGGCAATATTCCAGCTGTATGACGGCGGTCTGTAAATAATCGAGTATGAACCAGACAATTCAGTGATTGACATCATGAGCATCGATCTACGCAATTGGGATACGCGTTAGTCGCCTCTTACGACAAGCATAGTCACCTCTTACGACAAGCATAGTCACCTCTTACGACAAGCATAGTCACCTCTTACGACAAGCATGGATTGCTGAAGACCTATTCTACCCCACATCTCCCCGGGTAGTATGACAACTGCATCAGCAATTGAAGTGTGAAGTATGTATAAATATGAAGCCTTGAGCTAAGTATATTTTAAACAAAATGAAATTATGAGTGAGAATGAGTTTGCTTTAACGCCGGTTTTAAAATTGCTTCAGTTATATACAAAACGCCAAAATAGTTCAGTTATTTTACAATTAATCCTCCGTCAGATTGACAAAAAGTTATTAAGAAGTTCAAAAGGGCTTAAAAGCATCATAATAGACTTATTATGCAAGGATTGGAAGCCTCAGTTCATTAAAATGATTCATTCAGTTTCCCATTTAAATATCAATGTATTTCTTGAGGGTGTCTCGTTTTTTACCCGAGTCAAATTTAATGTTAACGGCCAAAAAGTGCCACGATGTATGAATATAATGGATCGCCAAGACGCAACTTAACGAGCGTCCATGGTACAAAAGTCCCGAATGCTTTCCATGAAAATCAAAATTCACTTGAGTTTCCTTGTGCCTTTTCTGATAAACGGCACCCCAATACGTGGATCCAACATTCAAGGATCTGTACTGCAAGACCATGGCTGGGTGAACATCTATCCACACCATTGGTACGTCACATAAGAGACTTGTCCGGTCGCTTTCTTACTGTATACATCCACAACTACGTACCACTCTGCAGGCGTTGTCCGATAATAGTGTATTTTAGGCTTCATTTGGGTGAGGTTGTTGGGCTGGTGGCAGTTTCTCTTTCAGAAATAAAGTTTAAAAAAGCTGTTTCAAGTGATCAAAAAGAAATTATTCCGATCTTTGATTGTACTTTTGTCAGGGACAATTCAAACGGTTTGCTTCATGCCTACATTTAAACTTTATTTCATTTTTGGAATATGTTAACAGACCCAGTGGCAAGACAAAATGATTGTTGTCGAATTTTAGAATTTTCGATTATGGGTGGTCGGATATTTAATTCCTAATTGTTTCAATAGATTTTGTTTCTACCCTTCTGTCATTATCATATTCATAAGACTATTTCTTTATCTCAATATCCGAATATATTTTCGTCTTTCAGTTTTTAAATGTAAAACCACTTTACATTTGATTCAAGAGTACACCACAATATAGTTATGCGCGAAAAGTACTTTGTTCGACTGAGGGTTGTTCTGGCACTGACAGCCACCAGTTGATAAAAGATGTCTATCGACAAATACTATCTGGCAAGGGAGGCAACTGTTTGTTTTGGTTATTACAATACAATTTGGAAAGTGTAATTTTTAACCTTGTATCGATATTTAAATGGGGAAAAGGAAAGAACATGTCGGCAGTAACGAAGATGAGAGTATATCAGGTAATTGTGTGTTCTGTTACAGTAAAATGGGATAGTCCTGAAGATCATGAGGCACGTGCGAATGTGACCGTGAAACGAGTGCACGTGCGGCACGCACTATGTTTGGACCTTGCCGATAACAATAGCTACTAATCAGATCTGAATGTCATTTAATTTGAGATGCTTGATTTTTCCCTTATCCAGTCGCCCCATTGGCAATCGTCTTGTCTAACGCATCTTCTCGACATTCACACCATTGCTCAACTTGACGCCAATGACCCAATGGGACAAGGGCTTCCGTGATCTTCGACAGCCCGTGAATTAATTAATATTTGTGTTGAAAGGCATATCAAGATTTTACGCCCTTTTCCTTTCAAATTACAAAATAGTGTTCCAATTGATGAATGACTGGGGTAGTTCCACTACAATTGTTTCCCTGAGGTGACATGAACCAACACAGCAGGTATTTCAACACTGACACCTTACTCTTCAACATTGAAACCTTACTCTTCAACATTGAAACCTTACTCTTCAACATTGAAACCTTACTCTTACTCTTACTCTTCAACACTGACACCTTACTCTTCAGCATTGAAACCTTACTCTTACTCTTCAAGATTGAAACCTTACTCTTCAACATTGAAATCTTACTCTTCAACATTGAAACGACAAATTGGTTTCATATGAAAAATGAACTGATGTTACCTCTTCAACGTTGTTTCATCGTCAGTTTTCAACATTGTTTCAAAGTGAATTATCAGAGGACCATTTGTAAACCTTCAGATCAGGAGTGAGTGAGTATGGTTTTTACGCTGCTCGATAAGAACGATTAATGTAGTAGTATACTGGATTTATTTACATGTTATTTGATGTATTTACATTGTCTTTTCCTGTTTTCTAGTTATTCACAGATAACTACAGATATTCACATATGTATATACATTTTTTCACAGTTCTTCACAGTCGTACACAATTGTCATGATTGCCATCTTCATCACATGTTTACAATATCAGCCATGCACCACAGAGCACATGTTAGGCCTCTAAAATACAGTTTCAGTTTGACATTGAGTTAAATTGAGTAAAGGTACTTAAAAGTAAAAGGCAATATGATGTTTTCACAATAAGTTAGTTGCGTCTGCCAATCAGAGTCAGCCAGTAAATTGTAGAGGCTAAATATTAATGTAAGCTTGTTTTAACATTTCACAATTATTGGTGTTTGTAATTGACCATGTGAGTTTAATTTCATTTATTTCAGTACCAAGGTAAAAAATAAGAGTAAGGTGCCGTTTTTACCAGGCAATTGTAGCCGTTTTCGCTTGAGGCGAGTTGACGTTTTCGCCTGTCGGTGCCATTTTCGCCAGGTGACGTTTTGCTGAGGTGCCGCTTTAGCTATAACCCATCAGGAAGTGCTTGCCTCCATGTGGCAGTCTCCTTGGGCAAGACACTTTCAGAAATTACCTGTTTGAGATTAGTGATATTCTTAAACATTATGTTAAACCCCATTTCACCTCACCTCGGCTCACTTCCTCCAGACCTGGCAGTCAGATTTAATAGGTAATTTAGATCAAATTTCTGCGGGAACATGGCTTGACTCACTTGTATCAAATTTTGTATCTTACATTCACGTTGCAGAATCTCCAGGCAGCAGTCATAAGAAACACAAAAAGAGGAAAAAGAAGCACAAGAAGAGGCGTGAAAGTATGCCAGAAGAGCTGGAGTTCAGCTCCCCGCCGCCGACCACGGGGGGCTTCAAGCCAGCCATCAAACTCAAGCTGAAACTGGGCAACGAAACCATGGGAACAAAGAGGTATTTTACAGGATTGATTTTATGAATCCTTCCATATCACAGTATTTATCCACAGTTGGGATTTCAGGTTAGAATTGGTCACCAGCACTCACTTAGGGATCGGATGGTCAGATTTGGCCACATGTTCATTGACTGTCATACTATAACACCCCTTCCCCAGGCAAGTGAGTTGACTGACTATAATAAAAGTCCACTTTCCACCTTTGCCGAACTAGGCTGGTATTATGGAGTTACATGTTGCCTGGACTAACGATTCTATGCATAGTCCAATCAAAATCACGCAACGAAATCGAAATCCGGTTCGTAAACTGTCATGCAGATTTTGGTTGATTGCAGGATTTGCAAATCATGTGCACCGCCAACTTGTTGTCAACAGATATTTTCTCAATCTTTTCATGTTTTTAATTAAGGTGCTCACATGATTTGATGCACCTCGCGATGAAAGACTAGTTTTATCACTATATAGGTATTGACTATCGATCAGATCATCTTGACCGTCATTTTGTTTGAAGCAAATGCAAGTCATACGAGAGGTGGAATCTGACTGGTCCGTAGGAGAGGCATGGAAGGGACATAACTCGTACTAGCCACAGACAGCGCTACAATTAAGCCTAGGACTTCCAGCCTAGTTCGGCAAGGGTGGAAACTGGACTTTGAAAGTCAGTTAACTCCCTTGCCTCGGGAATATGACTATAACAGTGGCATGGAAGTTGATTATTACATCAGTCACTGGTTTGTCTGTTCAGGAATCCTTAATTAAATGGTGGCCTGGGTGGCCCAGTCATATAAGGCGCCGCAATTCCCTGTGCAGAGTTGCATCCCTTGGGCACGCCCAAAAGCTATGACTGTGGGTTTGAATCTCGGTTCGCCCTGATTGTGTTTCTAGGTTTGTCAGCACCATACCCATGCTCATGGGTTTCACCGAAGTGGTAAATGTCTGAGACCAGCATCACTTCGGGCTTTCCTCCCACATTAAGCCGACACGCTGTGATATAACTAGAATACTATTAAAAGCGGCGTTAAACCCAACCAGCTCACTCACCATAATTAAAAGTTGAAACATTAGACGATGTTAAACGATAAACAAAACAGAATACACCATGTATAGAGGTGAATCCACCTGACTCCCCTGTTTGGTTTCAACTCACCTTGACATAATCAGTTGAAATAGATTAACCCTGAGACTAGTGCTGGGTGCTCAGTTTGTTAGACATGGAGGCAGAGGCTGAGTGTGCACACATCCACCTCAAGCAGCCTTGACCCGTGAAGATCCGGGCTGGAAAATGTCTTCAGCAACCCATGCTTGCCATAAAAGGCGACTCTGCTTGTCGTGAGAAGGGACAGGATCGGTTAGTCAGGCTTGGCTGATGCAACTAATCGTATCCCAATTGCATGGATCTATGCTCATGTGACTGGATGTCTGGTCCAGACGTGATTATGTACAGACCGCCGTCATGTAGCTGCAATATGCTGAGTGCTGTGTACACAACAAAACAAGCGGCCTGTCAAACTCTACAGTGAACACTGGCTCCAGTACCTTAGTCTGCTAGAGGTCGGTCACCTGTAACCATGGTAACTGGATCCTGTTTCAGTTTCACATCCACTATAGAGCAGCCTGCACTGCCCAGTACCATTACAGCATCAACAGCAGCAGCATCAACAGCAGCAGCAGCATCAACAGCAGCAGCATCAGGACTGCCCACTGAAGAGACATACGTTAATGTCACTGATGAACCTTGGGTTGGTAAGTAGCAGCTTTCATGAGTTAATGTCTTGTCAACCAAAAAGTCTGTGTCTGGTGCATTTTCTCTTCTCTGTGATATGGCTAACTGACTTTAAGCTGATGGTTAGACTAACATCTACCGTATTTTTTTTAGTATAGTGTGCACCCCACTCTAGCGGACTCAGTATTTTTGTAAAAATAATTTGAATATTATGCTCTGAAAAAAATTACACGTACCGTACCACTTCAGCGAATTCCGGTAAACGAATGGGTGATTCGAATTTTTAAACTTTGTCAGTACAAATTTGAAATTAGAGATAAAAAATCACCTGACATGTTGATTTACTATTTAAATTGTATATTTTGTTCTGCTAGGCATTGTTTTACATTCAGGGATTAAGATTACCTTGTGTATTTTCTTGTAAACTAAGCCGGACACAGCAATCAGCTGTACACACGTTTTCTTGGAATCTACTGGTGATTCGGTCAAGACACACCCAGTGATATAACTTTACAGAATTTCATTGCAAGGATCGGCAAAAATTGTATCTGAAACTATTTTCTTATCAGGAATAATATATTCCAATATCTTGTTATTTTAGTTGCAGCTTTTACCAAATACATTTAAAATAATAATACCGTATTCGACGTAATAAGCACCCAGGGCGCTCTCAAAATTAGAAATAGGGGGCTCTTATTAGAATATTAAAGATAAAGAGATTAAAGAGTTGAAAGATAAATTTCGTGGTTTATGCTGACAGCCTGAAATGTTTATGTATGACAGATATATTTTCCAGAATTTCATTGCCCATAATTAAGGGTGCATATAACACACGAGTGCGTATTATACGCGAATAAATAAGTCTTGTGTACATTGATCAATCGGAAGGGGTGCTAATTGGGATTGTTCACTAGTCAATATATTAGCAATTATCGCCGTGGGCGCTTATTAGAGCGGGGCGCTTATTACGTCGAATACAGTAACCCTAAGGGTAGCAGCTGATCGCTATTGCCAGTTATTTTTTTTCACATGGAACAATTTGATCATTCACCCTCGAGGATCCCACACAGGTGATCGCGAGAACTACATGTTGACATAGAATCATGAAACTATCACAAATATGACTTTGAATGGGTCAAAGTATGGCATATATGATAAAAATATCCATTCTCTGTCAACTTAAGTTCATTTCAAGGCGTCAATAGCCGTAATCTGACCGTGGTTGCTGTAAATAACGGTGAGTTGTGCGATCTTCTAATTGCTTCACACACGATTTCGCCGAAATGAATTAAAACAATATTAAAAGGAATTTTGGATAAAATTTATGAAACATAAGTCCAGGTATACGTACAATGAACACTTTTAATAACCAGACAGTGTTATGGCATGATAAATTTGTACTTCAGTATGGATTTGTTGACATGGTATTTCCAATGTTACGTGCTCACGGTAATGTCTTTGTATTTGGAGAAAAAACATCAAAACTCATTTTGGCGTGCAAAATGCGCACCCCCTTCTACGCAGCTGGGGGATTTTTTTAAAAAAAAGTGTGCACTATACTCAAGAAAATATGATAGTCTCTGAAATGAACATATCTTACAGAAAAAAAAACAGTTGTTAAATTATCTTAATAAAAATATCATTAAAAGGAGTCCAGAGACTCTCTTCATTTTCAGTTACTGCAGTAATCTAGACTTGCCAAACATTATAGACTTGCATGGGCCATATTTAAAATATTTGATTCAGGATGACTAGCTGATGGTCTAAAATGTATCTTACAGTCACGACAAAGATGTTGTTTAATGTTGTTAACTGTCCTAATCGTGACAAGCCATACCCACCCCCATTCAATTTTAACATTCCCAAACTCAGACTATAATCTAAATAATTAAGGACATATTGCTTATCAAAGGATAAGCAGAGGATGCCACCTGGTTCTTCTAACTGGGGAGCTTAGTTCTCAAACATCTGCTCAGTCCGATGTCTAGAAGTGATGTGATTATACATGACCTGGCCACGTCCGGTCACGTGGGCGCTGTGGGAGGAAGGAAACCACACAACCCGTGGGTACACCAACGTCTGTAGCATGGACCTCGAACAGCTCTGTCTCCAAAGTAAGGTTGTAATGCAGGATAAGTATTCAAATATACAAAAATTATCATTCTAACGATTCCAAACACACCTTCTTGGTTACAGCCACTTCCTGAATAGCAAAACATTAGAGTTACCTCCCTTACCTCATTTGACCTGCTCTTAATCCACTGCAGCAATGAACATCTTAATAGTCAGTAAAAGGGTGACAACTGTCCTGCCAAATTCAATTCAAGACCCTCAAACACCACTTTGTCTGCTATTTCGAATATACTTATGTAATCACTGTAGCAGGTCAATGTCCCTGTGAAGATCTGGGTTAAAATTGGTCACGAGCAACTCATACTAGTAGTAAGCGGCATCTATCTAATTGTTAGTAAAAATGACCAAATAGATAACTTCCTATTTCATGTACATATAGTTGCTCAAGGTAACTTGTGTTCTGCTGACTTGTTTTCATACTGCCTCATGTTAAACAGTACCAGCAAGAGGACATACTGCCTCATGTTAAACAGTGCCAGCAAGAGGACATACTGCCTCATGTTAAACAGTGCCAGCAAGAGGACATACTGCCTCATGTTAAACAGTGCCAGCAAGAGGACATACTGCCTCATGTTAAACAGTGCCAGCAAGAGGACATACTGCCTCATGTTAAACAGTACCAGCAAGAGGACATACTGCCTCATGTTAAACAGTACCAGCAAGAGGACATACTGCCTCATGTTAAACAGCACCAGCAAGAGGACATACTGCCTCATGTTGAACAGCACCAGCAAGAGGACATACTGCCTCATGTTAAACAGTGCCAGCAAGAGGACATACTGCCTCATGTTAAACAGCACCAGCAAGAGGACATACTGCCTCATGTTAAACAGTGCCAGCAAGAGGACATACTGCCTCATGTTAAACAGTGCCAGCAAGAGGACATACTGCCTCATGTTAAACAGTGCCAGCAAGAGGACATACTGCCTCATGTTAAACAGTACCAGCAAGAGGACATACTGCCACATGTTAAACAGCACCAGCAAGAGGACATACTGCCTCATGTTAAACAGCACCAGCAAGAGGACATACTGCCTCATGTTAAACAGCACCAGCAAGAGGACATACTGCCTCATGTTAAACAGCACCAGCAAGAGGACATACTGCCTCATGTTAAACAGTGTCAGCAAGAGGACATACTGCCTCATGTTAAACAGCACCAGCAAGAGGACATACTGCCTCATGTTAAACAGCACCAGCAAGAGGACATACTGCCTCATGTTAAACTGTGCCAGCAAGAGGACATACTGCCTCATGTTAAACAGTGCCAGCAAGAGGACATACTGCCTCATGTTAAACAGTGCCAGCAAGAGGACATACTGCCTCATGTTAAACAGTGCCAGCAAAAGGACATACTGCCTCATGTTAAACAGTGCCAGCAAGAGGACATACTGCCTCATGTTAAACAGTGCCAGCAAGAGGACATACTGCCTCATGTTAAACAGTACCAGCAAGAGGACATACTGCCACATGTTAAACAGCACCAGCAAGAGGACATACTGCCTCATGTTAAACAGCACCAGCAAGAGGACATACTGCCTCATGTTAAACAGTGCCAGCAAGAGGACATACTGCCTCATGTTAAACAGTACCAGCAAGAGGACATACTGCCTCATGTTAAACAGTGCCAGCAAGAGGACATACTGCCTCATGTTAAACAGCACCAGCAAGAGGACATACTGCCTCATGTTAAACAGCACCAGCAAGAGGACATACTGCCTCATGTTAAACAGCACCAGCAAGAGGACATACTGCCTCATGTTAAACAGCACCAGCAAGAGGACATTCTGCCTCATGTTAAACAGCACCAGCAAGAGGACATACTGCCTCATGTTAAACAGTGCCAGCAAGAGGACATACTGCCTCATGTTAAACAGCACCAGCAAGAGGACATACTGCCTCATGTTAAACAGCACCAGCAAGAGGACATACTGCCTCATGTTAAACAGTGCCAGCAAGAGGACATACTGCCTCATGTTAAACAGTGCCAGCAAGAGGACATACTGCCTCATGTTAAACAGTGCCAGCAAGAGGACATACTGCCTCATGTTAAACAGTGCCAGCAAGAGGACATACTGCCTCATGTTAAACAGCACCAGCAAGAGGACATACTGCCTCATGTTAAACAGTACCAGCAAGAGGACATACTGCCTCATGTTAAACAGCACCAGCAAGAGGACATACTGCCTCATGTTAAACAGCACCAGCAAGAGGACATACTGCCTCATGTTAAACAGTGCCAGCAAGAGGACATACTGCCTCATGTTAAACAGTGCCAGCAAGAGGACATACTGCCTCATGTTAAACAGTGCCAGCAAGAGGACATACTGCCTCATGTTAAACAGTGCCAGCAAGAGGACATACTGCCTCATGTTAAACAGTGCCAGCAAGAGGACATACTGCCTCATGTTAAACAGTACCAGCAAGAGGACATACTGCCTCATGTTAAACAGTACCAGCAAGAGGACATACTGCCTCATGTTAAACAGCACCAGCAAGAGGACATACTGCCTCATGTTAAACAGCACCAGCAAGAGGACATACTGCCTCATGTTAAACAGCACCAGCAAGAGGACATACTGCCTCATGTTAAACAGCACCAGCAAGAGGACATACTGCCTCATGTTAAACAGTGCCAGCAAGAGGACATACTGCCTCATGTTAAACAGCACCAGCAAGAGGACATACTGCCTCATGTTAAACAGCACCAGCAAGAGGACATACTGCCTCATGTTAAACAGTGCCAGCAAGAGGACATACTGCCTCATGTTAAACAGTGCCAGCAAGAGGACATACTGCCTCATGTTAAACAGTGCCAGCAAGAGGACATACTGCCTCATGTTAAACAGCACCAGCAAGAGGACATACTGCCTCATGTTAAACAGTGCCAGCAAGAGGACATACTGCCTCATGTTAAACAGTGCCAGCAAGAGGACATACTGCCTCATGTTAAACAGTGCCAGCAAGAGGACATACTGCCTCATGTTAAACAGTGCCAGCAAGAGGACATACTGCCTCATGTTAAACAGTGCCAGCAAGAGGACATACTGCCTCATGTTAAACAGCACCAGCAAGAGGACATACTGCCTCATGTTAAACAGTGCCAGCAAGAGGACATACTGCCTCATGTTAAACAGTGCCAGCAAGAGGACATACTGCCTCATGTTAAACAGTGCCAGCAAGAGGACATACTGCCTCATGTTAAACAGTGCCAGCAAGAGGACATACTGCCTCATGTTAAACAGTACCAGCAAGAGGAAGACGCTTAATTGTACATTAATATTGTGGCGCCTGATATTGGAATGGGTGCTGTCTGTGCCGTCAACTCAAAAACAATGATTGATATCTTAACCAAACTTGGCACATAGATATAGTTTTGAACTGGTGCCTTGTGATAGTTTGGGATGTTTTAAAAAATTATTTTTTGGTTGGTTGGTTGGTTTGTTGTTTAACACCGCACTCAGCAATATTCCAGCTATATGACGGCGGTCTGTAAATAATTGAGTCTGGACCAGACAATCCAGTGATTAATATCATGAGCATCAATCAACGCAATTGGGATTGATGACATGCATCAACCAAGTCAGCGAGCCTGACCACCCGATCCCGTTTGTCGCCTTTTACGACAAGCCTGGGTTGCTGAAGACCTATCTACCCCGGAATCTTCACGGGTCAATTATTTTTTGAGTTTCCATGGCAATGACGGAAAATGACAGTACTGCCACTTTTCTTAAGCAGATCTTGAAAACCGTATAATATTTCTTCACCGAAACTGCCACATAGATAGGTCTAGTAGTAGACTGGTGCCTTTGATAGTTTGGGAATTTTTTTATAAATTTTTTTTTTTTTTTTTTCCAAAGTACCGACTTTGACTGAAAATGGAGGTAGTGCTCGTTATGGAGGGCTAATGCCTTGCACACAACCAGACATGTCATATTGGCGGGGGATTTGAGAATTTTAGGCTTGTTGTATCAAGGCAATGTTATACTACCCCTGAACATCAGAACTTAAGCAAAATCCCAATTTTAAAGAAGGGCACTCAGTTTGGGATTCTAGATCATGCCTGTACTAACTGTGGATATGTCCATCAGTGGCCCCCAGCGAGATGCAACCCGCAGCAGAGGACGACACATTCAAGACCAAGAAGCCAGGCGACGAGACGTCAGATGAGGAGAAGGCGTGGCTCGATGCCTTGGAAGCAGGCAAGCTGGACGATTTCGAGGAGAGACAGAAGCACAAGGACCCCAAACTTCTTACAGCAAGACAGGTGAGCTCCTGAACATTCCTGTGGGGATTCTAGATAAGATGAGGTCCCCAATTTTCCATGCTTGTCTTCCCGTGGGGATTCAGGGTAAGACGATGTCCCCAGTGCTCCATGCTTGTCTCCCCATTGGGATTCTGCATAAGACGAGGGCCCCAATTCTCCATACTTGTCTCCCCATTGGGATTCTGGGTAAGATGAGGTCCCCAATTCTCCATACTTGTCTCCCCATTGGGATTCAGGGTAAGACGATGTCCCCAATGCTCCATGCTTGTCTCCCCATTGGGATTCTGGGTAAGACGAGGTCCCCAATTCTCCATACTTGTCTCCCCATTGGGATTCTGGGTAAGACGAGGGCCCCAATGCTCCATGCTTGTCTCCCCATTGGGATTCTGGGTAAGACGAGGTCCCCAGTACCCAGTGTATGTCGTGAGAGTCATACTATGAAATGATATGGCTGTTTTGTTGTCTGTTGTGTAAGACTGAAATGACCTTGATTTCTTGAAACAAGTCATAAATTTAAATTTTACTCTGACTCATAATCCTGATAATATAGAAAACAACTGAAGATGTCGTGCAGCATTATTAACTCATGTCGTGATGTCTTGCAGCATTATTAACTCATGTCGTGATGTCATGCAGCATTATTAACTCATGTCGTGATGTCATGCAGCATTATTAACTCATGTCGTGATGTCTTGCAGCATTATTAACTCATGTCGTGATGTCATGCAGCATTATTAACTCATGTCGTGATGTCGTGCAGCATTATTAACTCATGTCGTGATGTCATGCAGCATTATTAACTCATGTCGTGATGTCGTGCAGCATTATTAACTCATGTCGTGATGTCATGCAGCATTATTAACTCATGTCGTGATGTCGTGCAGCATTATTAACTCATGTCGTGATGTCGTGCAGCATTATTAACTCATGTCGTGATGTCGTGCAGCATTATTAACTCATGTTGTGATGTCGTGCAGCATTATTAACTCATGTCGTGATGTCGTGCAGCATTATTAACTCATGTCGTGATGTCTTGCAGCATTATTAACTCATGTTGTGATGTCGTGCAGCATTATTAACTCATGTCGTGATGTCGTGCAGCATTATTAACTCATGTCGTGATGTCATGCAGCATTATTAACTCATGTCGTGATGTCGTGCAGCATTATTAACTCATGTCGTGATGTCTTGCAGCATTATTAACTCATGTCGTGATGTCGTGCAGCATTATTACCTCATGTCGTGATGTCGTGATGTCTTGCAGCATTATTAACTCATGTCGTGATGTCTTGCAGCATTATTAACTCATGTCGTGATGTCGTGCAGCATTATTAACTCATGTCGTGATGTCGTGCAGCATTATTAACTCATGTCGTGATGTCATGCAGCATTATTAACTCATGTCGTGATGTCGTGCAGCATTATTAACTCATGTCGTGATGTCGTGCAGCATTATTAACTCATGTCGTGATGTCGTGCAGCATTATTAACTCATGTCGTGATGTCGTGCAGCATTATTAACTCATGTCGTGATGTCGTGCAGCATTATTAACTCATGTCGTGATGTCGTGCAGCATTATTAACTCATGTCGTGATGTCGTGCAGCATTATTAACTCATGTCGTGATGTCGTGCAGCATTATTAACTCATGTCGTGATGTCGTGCAGCATTATTAACTCATGTCGTGGAGACGACACACTGAATTGGATGTATTGTTCCGGAACCTGATGGTTGTAACATTGTGTTCACAGAGGGCGCTGATCCACGGCAAGCAGGAGGAGGAGCTCATGCAGCTGCCGTCAGGTAAACTTCAGGTCATTGACCCCTTCCGGTCATTGACCCCTTCCGGTCATTGACCCTTCCTGGGCATTGACCCCTTCCTGGGCATGCTTGTCACAAGACAATTGAGGGTTGAGAAATCAAAATGTTGCCATGACCCAGCTGTGTGAATTGTTGCTCACAATGTCGCCATGAGCAAGCTGTAACAACTCTAATCATTGTATTTTGGTTTAGCGACCTAAGTAAGGATAAGAATTTATGGATGAACAACTTCTTTATTACAAGTAAGAGCGACGTTTCGGTGTAGGTTCTAACACTGTTATCAAGCAAGTGATTTACAGAGTGTGGTTGGCAAGTATATATGTTACAGGAAACAAGTACTCTTTTAAATGCCTATCAAAGAAGGTTTAGACCTAGTTATGGCTCTGATCACTGTAAAGTATTGTGGGTTAAACCTAGTTACGGCTCTGATCAGTGTGAAGTATATTGGTTTAGACCTAGTTATGGCTTTGATCAGTGTGAAGTATTGTGGTTTAGACCTAGTTATGGCTTTGATCAGTGTGAAGTATTGTGGTTTAGACCTAGTTATGGCTCTGACCTGTGTGAAGTTTTGTGGGTTAGACCTAGTTATGGTTCTGATCAGTTTGAAGTATTGTGGTTTAAACCTAGTTATGGTTCTGATCAGTGTGAAGTATTGTGGTAACAGCTCTGATCATTGTATTGTGGGTTAGACCTGGTAACAGCTTTGATCAATGTATTGTGGGTTAGACCTGGTAACAGCTTTGATCATTGTATTGTGGGTTAGACCTGGTAACAACTCTGATCGTTGTATTGTGAGTTAGACCTGGTAACAGCTCTGATCAATGTATTGTGGGTTAGACCTGGTAACAGCTCTGATCGTTGTATTGTGAGTTAGACCTGGTAACAGCTCTGATAGTTGCATTGTGGGTTAGACCTGGGAACAGCTCTGATCAATGTATTGTGGGTTAGACCTGGTAACAGCCCTTATCAAAGTATTGTGGGTTAGACCTGGTAACAGCTCTGATCAATGTATTGTGGGTTAGACCTGGTAACAGCTCTGATCATTGTATTGTGGGTTAGACCTGGAAACAGCTCTGATCAATGTATTGTGGGTTAGACCTGGTAACAGCTTTGATCATTATATTGTGGGTTAGACCTGGTAACAGCTTTGATCATTGTATTGTGGGTTAGACCTGGTAACAGCTCTGATCGTTGTATTGTGAGTTAGACCTGGTAACAGCTCTGATCATTGTATTGTGGGTTAGACCTGGTAACAGCTCTGATCAATGTATTGTGGGTTAGACCTGGTAACAGCTCCGATCATTGTATTGTGAGTTAGACCTGGTAACAGCTTTGATCATTGTATTGTGAGTTAGACCTGGTAACAGCTTTGATCATTGTATTGTGGGTTAGACCTGGTAACAACTCTGATCGTTGTATTGTGAGTTAGACCTGGTAACAGCTCTGATCATTGTATTGTGGGTTAGACCTGGTAACAGCTCTGATCAATGTATTGTGGGTTAGACCTGGTAACAGCTTTGATCAATGTATTGTGGGTTAGACCTGGTAACAGCTTTGATCATTGTATTGTGGGTTAGACCTGGTAACAGCTTTGATCATTGTATTGTGGCTTAGACCTGGTAACAGCTCTGATCGTTGTGTTGTGGGTGAGACCTGGTAACAGCTCTGATCGTTGTTTTGTGGGTTAGACCTGGTAACAGCTCTGATCATTGTTTTGTGGATTAGACCTGGTAACAGCTTTGATCGTTGTATTGTGGGTTAGACCTGGTAAAAGCTCTGATTGTTGTTTTGTGGGTTAGACCTGGTAACAGCTCTGATCGTTGTTTTGTGGTTTAGGTTACAAGAACGTCCAGCTCACGGAGGAGCAACTTCAGAGACGTCAACAGCGGGCAAAGAAGAGGCGGCAGCAGGCACATGAGAAGAGGGAGAAGGATAAAGTGAGTTGTCCAACTGGTAGTATCACTGTAGAACGCCTGCTATCAACAAGGTCTAATACCTACACAGAAGGATAAAGTGAGTTGTCCAACTACTAGTATCACTGTAGAACGCCTGCTATCAACAAGGTCTAATACCTACACAGAAGGATAAAGTGAGTTGTCCAACTAGTAGTATAACTGTAGAACGCCTGCTATCAACAAGGTCTAATACCTACGCAGAAGGATAAAGTGAGTTGTCCAACTAGTATTATAACTGTAGAACGCCTGCTATCATCAAGGTCTAATACCTACACAGAAGGATAAAGTGAGTTGTCCAACTAGTAGTATAACTGTAGAACGCCTGCTATCATCAAGGTCTAATACCTACACAGAAGGATAAAGTGAGTTGTCCAACTACCGTATTTTCTTGAGTATAGTGCGCACCCATGTATAATGCGCACCCCCCTCTAGCGGGTTCAATATTTTGGAAAAAAAGAAATTTGAATATTATGCGCGATAATTTCATGTTGACATAGAATCGTCAAACAAAAACAAATATGACTTTTAACGAGTCAAAGTATGTCATTTATGATATATGTATCCGTTCTCTGTCAACTAAAGTTCGTATCAAGGCGTCAATAGCGGTATTCTGACCGTGGTTGCTGTTAATAACGGTGAGTTGTGCGATCTTCCGATCGCTTCACACACGATTTCGCCGAAATTAATAAAAACAATATTATAAGGAATTTTGAATAAAATTAATGAAATAAGTTACAAACATAAGTCCAGATATACAAAGAACACTTTTTATAGCCAGACAGTGTAATTATGATTATTTTGCGTACTTCAGTATGGATTTGTTGACATGGTATTTCCGGTGTTTCGTGCTCACGGTAATGTCTTTCCATGGGGGAAAAAAACATCCAAACTCATAATTCGTGTATAATGCGCACCCCCTCCTACACAGCTGGGTTTTTTCGAAAAAAAGTGCGCATTATACTCAAGAAAATACGGTAGTAGTATCACTGTAGAACGCCTGCTATCAACAAGGTCTAATACCTACACAGAAGGATAAAGTGAGTTGTCCAACTACTAGTATCACTGTAGAACGCCTGCTATCAACAAGGTCTAATACCTACACAGAAGGATAAAGTGAGTTGTCCAACTAGTAGTATAACTGTAGAACGCCTGCTATCAACAAGGTCTAATACCTACGCAGAAGGATAAAGTGAGTTGTCCAACTAGTATTATAACTGTAGAACGCCTGCTATCATCAAGGTCTAATACCTACACAGAAGGATAAAGTGAGTTGTCCAACTAGTAGTATAACTGTAGAACGCCTGCTATCATCAAGGTCTAATACCTACACAGAAGGATAAAGTGAGTTGTCCAACTACCGTATTTTCTTGAGTATAGTGCGCACCCATGTATAATGCGCACCCCCCTCTAGCGGGTTCAATATTTTGGAAAAAAAGAAATTTGAATATTATGCGCGATAATTTCATGTTGACATAGAATCGTCAAACAAAAACAAATATGACTTTTAACGAGTCAAAGTATGTCATTTATGATATATGTATCCGTTCTCTGTCAACTAAAGTTCGTATCAAGGCGTCAATAGCGGTATTCTGACCGTGGTTGCTGTTAATAACGGTGAGTTGTGCGATCTTCCGATCGCTTCACACACGATTTCGCCGAAATTAATAAAAACAATATTATAAGGAATTTTGAATAAAATTAATGAAATAAGTTACAAACATAAGTCCAGATATACAAAGAACACTTTTTATAGCCAGACAGTGTAATTATGATTATTTTGCGTACTTCAGTATGGATTTGTTGACATGGTATTTCCGGTGTTTCGTGCTCACGGTAATGTCTTTCCATGGGGGAAAAAAACATCCAAACTCATAATTCGTGTATAATGCGCACCCCCTCCTACACAGCTGGGTTTTTTCGAAAAAAAGTGCGCATTATACTCAAGAAAATACGGTAGTAGTATCACTGTAGAACGCCTGCTATCAACAAGGTCTTATACCTACAAAGAAGGATAAAGTGAGTTGTCCAACTAGTTGTAATAATCTCTGCTGTAGTATTTGAATCTTAGGGCTCTGTATTTTATGACTTTTAACTTAGGGTTATGACAAATCATGGAACATGGTAGTCTTTAATATGTAAGGACCTTGTTTATACTAAATCTCTGCTCATCCTAACCTTCTGATACATATGATCCAGTATGGCAGTGTGTCCCTCTTTTCTGATCTGTTCACTATGTTTGTCTTCCAGAAGCAAACCCTCGACCGACTCTTAAAGAAACAGGAGTCGAAGCAGAAGGGACCACGGGTGAGTGACACTGTTACTTGGTTGCCCAAGTGATTCCCTGATTACTTCCACAGCTTCTGACATCACTGTATATCATCCGAGCCGTCCCTCAAACCTCCCTGTATGATGCCATCTTCATGATGGTTGCCACGGCAGCCGTACTGACGTGTAGACTTGGTTGGAGGTGTGACAAACGTCTGCCAGGTCTGTTCCTGGGTTCAAATCCTTGGACTATCGGCCATACTCGTTCTTGTTTGAGTGACTGAGGTGACTGATGAAACATTGGATAGTCACTTGTAGAGCTGAGTATCACCTGGTATCTTGCGATACGATTCATATCACGATACGGACTGACGCTATTACTGGTATCATGATACACCACATCAAATAGTAAGAAATGGTGAAATCAGTGAAATGCACCTCCTTCTCATACATTTATATATCATTATCTGAAAAACTTTTACAAAGAAAACCACAAGAACAACACAGTTTCAAATGAAGAGATGGTTATTAAATGTAACAGTCAGCGCTTCCTTAGCTACCACAATCTTGTGTTCTGCCATGCTTACAGGTGGCGCTGTGCTACTTCTGCCATTATGGAAGGTAACTCTATTAGTTCCTGTTCTATTTATAGTGTATCACAATCTCACAAACTGACGATTGAAGATTTGTGTGTACCTCAGTATCGATGATATCGTAGGTTTTTTGTCTGTTTGTTGTTTAATGCCAAGTCAGTGAGCCTGACCGCCTGATCCTGTTTGTTGTTTCTTACGACAAGCATAGTCGCCTCTTACGGCAAGCATGGGTTGCTGAAGGCTAACCCGGATCTTCATGGGTCTGATTACAGATATCTTCTTGAGGCAAGAGAGTTAACTGATTATTTAAGTCCAGTTTCCACCCTTGCCGAACTAGGCTGGAATTCCTGGGCTCGATCGTAGCGCCACCAGTGGCTATTATGAGTTATGTCCTTTCCAAGCCTCTCCTATGGACCACCTGTCGTATCACTTGCATTTGTTTCAAACAAAATAGCGGCGCCCAGTCAAGACCATCTAATCAATAATCAAGATCTATATTGTGATAAAACGGGTCTTACGTCTCGAAATGCATCAAATCCCGCGAGCACCTTCATTAAAAACATGAAAAGATTTGGAAAATATCTGTTGACAACGAGTTGGCGGTGCACATGCTTTGCAAATCCTGCAATTGACCGAAATCTGCATGACAGTTTATGAACCGGATTGCGCGATTTTGATTGGACAATGCATAGACTCGTTAGTCCAGCCAAAATTTAACTCCATAATACCAGCCTAGTTCGGCAAGGGTGGAAAGTGGACTTTCTTATAAAGTCAGTTAACAACTTTGCCGCGGGAAGATGGATTACAGACGATGTCTTGTGGTCACATCGGCCTGAACGATGTACTGTGACTACATCAGCATCAACTTTGAACATAGCACCCTGTATCTGCACTGCCTCAGTAGGAGAATGGAGGTCTGCATTCTGAACATTTTATTGGAATAATATGATGGATAAATGATATTTAGAATTCTAGATGTTACCTTTTGAAATGTTTGTAAACTCGTGACATCTCTCTCTGTGCTGTTGAAGGGCCGTGGCTCCAAGCGTGCCAACATCCCGAGGTACCACTACTCCAGCACCAGTGAGAACATCACCATCTCGGTGCCAGCCGGCTACAGCTTTCCCTTCCCTCCACAAGCAGCCAAGGCGTGAGTACAGACCCCGCCCACACCCCGCCCACACACACTGCAGACACCCTGAGAGTACAGACCCCGCCCACACCCCCCCACACACCCCGCCCACACACACTGCAGACACCCTGAGAGTACAGACCCCGCCCACACCACGCCCACACCCCGCCCACACACACTGCAGACACCCTGAGAGTACAGACCCCGCCCACACCCCGCCCACACACACTGCAGACACCCTGAGAGTACAGACCCCGCCCCCACACACTGCAGACACCCTGATAGTCCAGAAACCTTGTTAGTCAACACCCTGATAGTCCGGGAACCAAATGTCAACACCCTGATAGTCCGGAAACCTTGTTAGTCAACTCCTTTTTTGTCCAGAAACCTTGTTAGTCAACACCCTGATAGTCCGGAAACCTTGTTAGTCAACTCCTTGTTTGTCCAGAAACCTTGTTAGTCAACACCCTGATAGTCCGGAAACCTTGTTAGTCAACTCCCTGTTTGTCCAGAAACCTTGTTAGTCAACTCCTTGTTTGTCCAGAAACCTTGTTAGTCAACACCCTGATAGTCTGGCAACCTTGTTAGTCAACTCCCTGTTTGTCCAGAAACCTTGTTAGTCAACTCCTTGTTTGTCCAGAAACCTTGTTAGTCAACACCCTGATAGTCCGGAAACCTTGTTAGTCAACTCCCTGTTTGTCCAGAAACCTTGTTAGTCAACTCCTGGTTTGTCCAGAAACCTTGTTAGTCAACACCCTGATAGTTCGGAAACCTTTTTAGTCAACTCCTTGTTTGGCCAGAAACCTTGTTAGTCAACTCCTTGTTTGTCCAGAAACCTTGTTAGTCAACACCCTGATAGTCCGGAAACCTTGTTAGTCAACACCCTGATAGTCTGGAAACCTTGTTAGTCAACACCCTGATAGTCCGGAAACTTTGTTAGTCAACACCCTGATAGTCCAGAAACCTTGTTAGTCAACACCCTGATAGTCCGGAAACCTTGTTAGTCAACTCCTTTTTTGTCCAGAAACCTTGTTAGTCAACACCCTGATAGTCCGGAAACCTTGTTAGTCAACTCCTTGTTTGTCCAGAAACCTTGTTAGTCAACACCCTGATAGTCCGGAGACCTTGTTAGTCAACTCCCTGTTTGTCCAGAAACCTTGTTAGTCAACTCCTTGTTTGTCCAGAAACCTTGTTAGTCAACACCCTGATAGTCCGGAAACCTTTTTAGTCAACTCCTTGTTTGGCCAGAAACCTTGTTAGTCAACTTGTTTGTCCAGAAACCTTGTTAGTCAACACCCTGATAGTCCGGAAACCTTGTTAGTCAACACCCAGATAGTCTGGAAACCTTGTTAGTCAACACCCTGATAGTCTGGAAACCTTGTTAGTCAACACCCTGATAGTCTGGAAACCTTGTTAGTCAACACCCTGATAGTCTGGAAACCTTGTTAGTCAACACCCTGATAGTCCAAAAACCTTGTTAGTCAACACCCTGATAGTCTGGAAACCTTGTTAGTCAACACCCTGATAGTCCGGGAACCAAATGTCAACTCCCTGTTTGTCCAGAAACCTTGTTAGTCAACACCCTGATAGTCCGGAAACCTTGTTAGTCAACTCCCTGTTTGTCCAGAAACCTTGTTAGTCAACTCCTTGTTTGTCCAGAAACCTTGTTAGTCAACACCCTGATAGTCCGGCAACCTTGTTAGTTAACACCCTGATAGTCCAGCAACCTTGTTAGTCAACTCCTTGTTTGTCCAGAAACCTTGTTAGTCAACACCCTGATAGTCCGGAAACCGTGTTAGTCAACACCCTGATAGTCCGGAAACCTTGTTAGTCAACACCCTGATAGTCCGGAAACCTTGTTAGTCAACTCCCTGTTTGTCCAGAAACCTTGTTAGTCAACTCCTTGTTTGGCCAGAAACCTTGTTAGTCAACTCCCTGTTTGTCCAGAAACCGTGTTAGTCAACACCCTGATAGTCCGGAAACCTTGTTAGTCAACACCCTGATAGTGTGGAAACCTTGTTAGTCAACACCCTGATAGTCTGGAAACCTTGTTAGTCAGCACCCTGATAGTCTGGAAACCTTGTTAGTCAGCACCCTGATAGTCTTGAAACCTTGTTAGTCAACACCCTGATAGTCCAAAAACCTTGTTAGTCAACACCCTGATAGTCTGGAAACCTTGTTAGTCAACACCCTGATAGTCCGGGAACCAAATGTCAACTCCCTGTTTGTCCAGAAACCTTGTTAGTCAACACCCTGATAGTCCGGAAACCTTGTTAGTCAACTCCCTGTTTGTCCAGAAACCTTGTTAGTCAACTCCTTGTTTGTCCAGAAACCTTGTTAGTCAACACCCTGATAGTCCGGCAACCTTGTTAGTTAACACCCTGATAGTCCAGCAACCTTGTTAGTCAACTCCTTGTTTGTCCAGAAACCTTGTTAGTCAACACCCTGATAGTCCAGAAACCTTGTTAGTCAACACCCTGATAGTCCGGAAACCTTGTTAGTCAACTCCTTTTTTGTCCAGAAACCTTGTTAGTCAACACCCTGATAGTCCAGAAACCTTGTTAGTCAACTCCTTGTTTGTCCAGAAACTTTGTTAGTCAACACCCTGATAGTCCGGCAACCTTGTTAGTCAACACCCTGATAGTCCGGCAACCTTGTTAGTCAACTCCTTGTTTGTCCAGAAATCTTGTTAGTCAACACCCTGATAGTCCGGCAACCGTGTTAGTCAACACCCTGATAGTCCGGGAACCAAATGTCAACACCCTGATAGTCCGGAAACCTTGTTAGTCAACACCCTGATAGTCCGGAAACCTTGTTAGTCAACTCCCTGTTTGTCCAGAAACCTTGTTAGTCAACTCCTTGTTTGGCCAGAAACCTTGTTAGTCAACTCCCTGTTTGTCCAGAAACCTTGTTAGTCAACACCCTGATAGTCCGGGAACCAAATGTCAACACCCTGATAGTCCGGAAACCTTGTTAGTCAACACCCTGATAGTCCGGAAACCTTGTTAGTCAACTCCCTGTTTGTCCAGAAACCTTGTTAGTCAACTCCTTGTTTGGCCAGAAACCTTGTTAGTCAACTCCCTGTTTGTCCAGAAACCTTGTTAGTCAACACCCTGATAGTCCGGGAACCAAATGTCAACACCCTGATAGTCCGGAAACCTTGTTAGTCAACTCCCTGTTTGTCCAGAAACCTTGTTAGTCAACACCCTGATAGTCCGGGAACCAAATGTCAACACCCTGATAGTCCGGAAACCTTGTTAGTCAACTCCTTGTTTGTCCAGAAACCTTGTTAGTCAACACCCTGATAGTCCGGCAACCTTGTTAGTTAACACCCTGATAGTCCAGCAACCTTGTTAGTCAACTCCTTGTTTGTCCAGAAACCTTGTTAGTCAACACCCTGATAGTCCAGAAACCTTGTTAGTCAACACCCTGATAGTCCGGAAACCTTGTTAGTCAACTCCTTTTTTGTCCAGAAACCTTGTTAGTCAACACCCTGATAGTCCAGAAACCTTGTTAGTCAACTCCTTGTTTGTCCAGAAACTTTGTTAGTCAACACCCTGATAGTCCGGCAACCTTGTTAGTCAACACCCTGATAGTCCGGCAACCTTGTTAGTCAACTCCTTGTTTGTCCAGAAATCTTGTTAGTCAACACCCTGATAGTCCGGCAACCGTGTTAGTCAACACCCTGATAGTCCGGGAACCAAATGTCAACACCCTGATAGTCCGGAAACCTTGTTAGTCAACACCCTGATAGTCCGGAAACCTTGTTAGTCAACTCCCTGTTTGTCCAGAAACCTTGTTAGTCAACTCCTTGTTTGGCCAGAAACCTTGTTAGTCAACTCCCTGTTTGTCCAGAAACCTTGTTAGTCAACACCCTGATAGTCCGGGAACCAAATGTCAACACCCTGATAGTCCGGAAACCTTGTTAGTCAACACCCTGATAGTCCGGAAACCTTGTTAGTCAACTCCCTGTTTGTCCAGAAACCTTGTTAGTCAACTCCTTGTTTGGCCAGAAACCTTGTTAGTCAACTCCCTGTTTGTCCAGAAACCTTGTTAGTCAACACCCTGATAGTCCGGGAACCAAATGTCAACACCCTGATAGTCCGGAAACCTTGTTAGTCAACTCCCTGTTTGTCCAGAAACCTTGTTAGTCAACACCCTGATAGTCCGGGAACCAAATGTCAACACCCTGATAGTCCGGAAACCTTGTTAGTCAACTCATCGTTTGTCCAGAAATCTTGTTAGTCAACACCCTGATAGTCCGGGAACCAAATGTCAACACCCTGATAGTCCGGAAACCTTGTTAGTCAACACCCTGATAGTCCGGGAACCAAATGTCAACACCCTGATAGTCCGGCAACCTTGTTAGTCAACTCCTTGTTTGTCCAGAAACCATGTTAGTCAACACCCTGATAGCCCGGAAACCTTGTTAGTCAACATCCCGATATTCTTCCCGAGGCAAGGGAAATGTTAATGTTCAGTTACCACCCTTGCTGAACTAGGCTTGAATTTCTGGGCCCGATCAAAGCTATTACCAGTTATGATATTGACCAATCAGATTTGATCCATCATACCACTTACATTTGCTTCAAATGAAATTTGCGCCCAGTCAAACAATCAGATAGATAATCAAGATCTATATTGATGGGTCTTATTCGCGAAGACCGCCTCCGTGGTCTAATGGTAGAGCGTCCGCCAGGAGAACGGAAGGTCCGGGGTTTGATCCCCAGCCGCGTCATACCAAAAGAAGTTAAAAGATGGTACTTGTTGTTACCCTGTCTGGCGCTCGGCATTAAGGGGCTAAAACAAGGACTGGTCGTCTCGGAGTCAGTATACTGTGTCTGAGTGGGGTATTCATGTTAAACTGCGGCATGGTATCTCAGTGTGCTAGCACTATAAATCGGCATCAGTTCGGACTAGTACAAGCAGCCACACACACACACATACACATGCATGCACGTCGCTATATAAGTGCAATAATCTTGGACGCGACGTTAAACCCCATTTCACCTCACCTCACCTCAACTCAACTCACCTCACCTCAACTTATTCGCAAAGTGCATCACATTATGTGGGCACCCTGATTAAAGACATAAAAATTTGGAAACTATGTATCCACGCCTAGTTGACGTACACATGCTGTGCAAATCCTGCAATTGACCAAAATCTGCACGGTAGTATGTTGTTTATCAACCAGATGTCAATTTCAGTACTTTCAGCAATTTTGATTGGACTGTGCACAGACTCGTTAGTCCAGCCAAAATATAACTATAATTCAGGTCTTGGTCCGCAAGGGTGGAAACTTGACTTTTATAGTCAGTTTTCTCTCTTGGGAAGATACACCCTGATAGTGAGAAAAATTATTAGTCCACACCTATGATTTAAACATGCAGAAATTTGTTCCTCCTGACAATTTCCTTTGGAGCAATTTCTGGATCAACGAGGTTTCTAGTGTTTATGACAATAAAGGACGCAAACATTTAATTATCACTGCTTGTTACTGGTGTTGATAGATTGGTCTGCTTGTTTCACCAGGCTCACGAAGACAACCAAGTGCGGTGTGAGTGGCTGCAGCAATCACAAGAAGTATGCGTGTTCCAGGACGGGGGTGCCGCTCTGCAGCCTAGAGTGCTACAAGACAAACCTTGCACTCCACAGCCATGTCAGGATAGTGCCGCCAACATGACCATTATGTCATGGAAACTTGAGGATTTGAAGGATTCTGCATTTTCTTTGACAGCCCTGGTAACATTAACAAAGGTGTCTCGAATGTTTGCCATGGTTACCAGAACAAGTTGTCCTGTAATGGAAACGGATGCAGTGAAGATGAATAAGTGACTGTCGTCCTGTCTGTTGCCATGGTTACAACAAAGAGTTGTCTCGAATGTTTTCCATGGTTACAACAACAAGTTGTCCTGTAATGGTAACGGATGCAGTGAAGATGTATATATACGACTGTAGTCCTGCTTGTTGGCATGGTTACAACAAGTTGTCCTGTAATGGTAACGGATGCAGTGAAGATGTATAAGTGACTTTAGTCCTGATTGTTGCTGTGGTTACATCAATGTTTGCTCACCACTGTGTACAAGGGAACCATCTATAAGCACCAACCAGCTCGCAACCTGACTATTTTGCCTTTACACTTTGTGTAACAGTTTTGCTGATTAAAATAAAATGGTTGACTTTGTTACTTAAGTCCTGTGTCGGATAATATTAGTTAGCGAGGGTTCAGCAGAGGCCAATATATTTTTGTTAACCTAATTGGACACTTTACATCAACTAAAGACACCATAACGAATTTAGTCTGCCGAAATGTTTCCACTCTCTTGTATCTTTATCGCACATGCACATTGACACTTACAAGGGTTAGGGTTAAGGGGAGACTTCTCTTCTAATCTTAGACACTTACAAGGGTTAGGGTTAACGGGAGACTTCTCATCTAATCTTAGAGGCCAAACCTTGTTGAAAGTGTCTACTCTTATCACCATCAATAAGTTCTTGGAACGTGATTCGTTTAAATGTAATGGCTTTGTACATCACAGTCAATGATATAAAAACAAAGATCTGTGTCAAATAACAAATTTCTGTTCCAGTTCATGTGAAATATGCAAGGTGGGTCTTAGAAAAATCCAAGATGGCTGTTACTGATGGGATAGTCCCATATTAGGTCAGTAGAAACCATCTTGGATATTTGCTGAGGTATACAGGTTCATATGGGGTTAGCCGTTCTGCTCTCTAATTGATCAATCTCACTTTGAGGCATAATAACAAATAATATGTGAGTTTGTTTCTTCTGTTCTGTAAGGCAATGGGACTAAAGTTTAGTCACTAAACATATATTGATGCCCAAATATACAGCCATGTTCTCAAAACTTGGTAGGTTACTTCTTGAGATGAAGGGGCGATGGGATAGAGGGATAGCCTGGTGGTTAAAGCCTTCACATGTCAAGTCGAAGACCTTGGCTTGATTTCTCCACATGGGTACAATGTGTGAAGCCCATTTCTGGTGTCCCCCCACCGTGATATTGCTGGAATATTGCTAAAAGAGGCATAAAACCTAAGTCACTCACTCACTCATGCAGCACTCGCACGCTCAGGAGGAAGACAGAGCAGGTGGTCAGAAATACAGATTATTTATTCATTTGAAGAAGTGTGAAAAGGTTAACAATAATTATACTGGGCCCCTGATGCGTGTCATCACTGTACTTGTACATCAGTGTGATGGCTGGTCATGTTTGTTCCAGAAAGAGATTAAACAAAAATATTATGTGAAGTCGGCTTTTTGTCTTCTTTGTCAGGAAAACACCTCTCAGCAATATCTCAAGCATATCTCAGTGTTCAACTGAAGGGGGTGGGATGCGGGCAAGACATGTCCGTCATCTAGTCCGTCATCTACTGAAGGGGGGTGGGGGGGAGCACAGCAAGACATGTCCGTCATCTTGTCTGTCATCTACTGAAGGGGGGTGGGGTGGAGCACAGCAAGACATGTCCGTCATCTACTGAAGGGGGGTGGGGGGGAGCACAGCAAGACATGTCCGTCATCTAGTCCGTCATCTATTGAAGGAGCCGCACAGCAAGACATGTCCGTCATCTACTGAAGGGGGGTGGGGGGGAGCACAGCAAGACATGTCCGTCACCTACTGAAGGGGGGTGGGGGGTGGGGGGGAGCACAGCAAGACATGTCCGTCATCTAGTCCGTCATCTATTGAAGGAGCCGCACAGCAAGACATGTCCGTCATCTACTGAAGGGGGGTGGGGGGGAGCACAGCAAGACATGTCCGTCATCTAGTCCGTCATCTATTGAAGGAGCCGCACAGCAAGACATGTCCGTCATCTACTGAAGGGGGGTGGGGGGGAGCACAGCAAGACATGTCCGTCACCTACTGAAGGGGGGTGGGGGGGAGCACAGCAAGACATGTCCGTCACCTACTGAAGGGGGGTAGGGGGCAGCACAGCAAGACATGTCCGTCATCTAGTCCGTCATCTATTGAAGTGGGGTTGGGGCAGCACAGCAAGATATCCGTCATCTATTGAAGGAGCCGCACAGCAAGACATGTCCATCATCTATTGAAGTGGGGTGGGGGGAAGCACAGCAAGACATGTCTGTCATCTGCTGAAGTGGGGTGGAGGCAGCACAGCAAGACATGTCCGTCATCTACTGAAGTGGGTTGGAGGCAGCACAGCAAGACATGTCCGTCATCTACTGAAGTGGGGTGGGGGGAAGCACAGCAAGACATGTCCGTCATCTACTGAAGTGGGTTGGGGGCAGCACAGCAGGACATGTCCGTCATCTATTGAAGTGGGGTGGGGGCAGCACAGCAAGACATGTCCGTCATCTACTGAAGTGGGTTGGGGGCAGCACAGCAGGACATGTCCGTCATCTATTGAAGTGGGGTGGGGGCAGCACAGCAAGACATGTCTGTCGTCTATTGAATTGGGTTAGGGGCAGCACAGCAGGACATGTCCGTCATCAATTGAAGTGGGGTGGAGGCAGCACAGCAAGACATGTCCGTCATCTATTGAAGTGGGGTTGGGGGAAGCACAGCAAGACATGTCCGTCATCTACTGAAGGGGGTTGGGGGCAGCACAGCAAAGGTCCATCATCTACTGAAGTGGGGTGGGGGCAGCACAGCAAGACATGTCCGTCATCTATTGAAGGGGGTTGGGGGCAGCACAGCAAGACATGTCCGTCATCTATTGAAGGGGGTTGGGGGCAGCACAGCAAAGGTCCGTCATCTACTGAAGTGGGATGGAGGCAGCACAGCAAGGTCTGTCATCTATTGAAGGAGCTGCACTGCAAGACAAGTCCGTCATCTACTGAAGTGGGGTGGGGGCAGCACAGCAAAGGTCCGTCATCTATTGAAGTGGGGTGGGGGCAGCACAGCAAGACATGTCCGTCATCTATTGAAGGGGGTTGGGGGCAGCACAGCAAGACATGTCAGTCATCTATTGAAGGGGGTGGGGGCAGCACAGCAAGACATGTCCGTCATCTACTAAAGTGGGGTAGGCGCAGCACAGCAAAGGTCAGTCATCTACTGAAGTGGGGTGTGGGCAGCACAGCAAAGGTCCGTCATCTATTGAAGGGGGTTGGGGGCAGCACAGCAAGACATGTCCGTCATCTATTGAAGGGGGTGGGGGCAGCACAGCAAGACATGTCCGTCATCTACTGAAGTGGGGTGGGGGCAGCACTGCAAAGGTCCATCATCTACTGAAGTGGGGTGGGGGCAGCACAGCAAAGGTCCGTCATCTATTGAAGGGGGTTGGGGGCAGCACAGCAAGACATGTCCGTCATCTATTGAAGGGGGGTGGGGGCAGCACAGCAGGACATGTCCGTCATCTATTGAAGTGGGGTGGGGGCAGCACAGCAAAGGTCCGTCATATACTGAAGTGGGGTGGGGGCAGCACAGCAAAGGTCCGTCATCTACAGAAGTGGGGTGGAGGCAGCACAGCAAGACATGTCCGTCATCTATTGAAGGGGGTTGGGGGCAGCACAGCAAAGGTCCATCATCTACTGAAGTGGGGTGGGGGCAGCACAGCAAAGGTCTGTCATCTATTGAAGTGGGGTGGAGGCAGCACAGCAAAGGTCCATCATCTACTGAAGTGGGGTGGGGGCAGCACAGCAAAGGTCCGTCATATACTGAAGTGGGGTGGAGGCAGCACAGCAAAGGTCCGTCATCTATTGAAGGGGATTGGGGGCAGCACAGCAAGACATGTCCGTCATCTATTGAAGTGGGGTGGAGGCAGCACAGCAAAGGTACGTCATCTACTGAAGAGGGGTGTGGGCAGCACAGCAAAGGTCCGTCATCTACTTAAGTGGGGTGGAGGCAGCATGGTGAAGCAGAGATTTGACACACCCATCTGAACACCTAAAGTTGGCGAATCGCTAATGACTATCACTCCATCTTGAGATGACCCACACTTTATTAGCAGTTTTTATTGTTTTTGCAGACAAACACTGGCACACTCTTGCAGCAAACTATTTTGCAGAACTGCCACAAGTCTTCATGACGTTAGATATTTCCAAGTGAAAAGCACCAAATTAAGAAAGTAAAATTACTAAAACTTCTGCGGGAACTTCTTGGAGTGAAGATGTTCGCTCTAAACACTCCAATGGCCGTGTATAGAAACTGGTGTGCTTACGACAGTGTGTAGAATAACCAACGTTATCAGTGGCAGAGATTAGCGATGTCAGTCGATTGTGACATCATGGTAATGTCACACTGGTCTGCAAAGCATTGTAATGCAATTTCATTCTAGTGATATCTCCTATATGATCTCACCCAAGCAATTTACTTCAGTGTGAAAGACTGAGTTTTCTGAAGTTGATATTTTCATTGCAGTGAACACAACACTTGATATTTCACTGCAGTGAACACAGGACTTGATATTTCACTGCAGTGAACACAGCACTTGATATTTCACTGCAATGAACACAAAACTTCATATTTCATTGCAGTGAACACAGCACTTCATATTTCACTGCAGTGAACAAAGGACTTGATATTTCACTACAGTGAACACATCACTTGATATTTCACTGCAGTGAACACAGCACTTGATATTTCACTGAAGTGAACACAGCACTTGATATTTCACTGTAGTAAACAGCACTTGATATTTCACTGCAGTGAACACAAAACTTGATATTTCACTGCAGTGAACACAAAACTTGATATTTCACTGCAATGAACACAAAACTTGATATTTCACTGCATTTAACACAAGACTTGATATTTCACTACATTGAACACAACACTTGATATTTCACTACATTGAACACAACACTTGATATTTCACTGCATTGAACACAGCACTTGATATTTCACTGCAGTGAACACAGCACTTGATATTTCACTGCATTGAACACAAGACTTGATATTTCACTGCATTGAACACAGCACTTGATATTTCACTGCATTGAACACAGCACTTGATATTTCACTGCAGTGAACATAGCACTTGATATTTCACTGCAGTGAACACAGCACTTGATATTTCACTACATTGAACACAGCACTTGATATTTCACTGCAGTGAACACATCACTTGATATTTCACTGCATTGAACACCACTTGATATTTCACTACATTGAACACAACACTTGATATTTCACTGCAGTGAACACAGCACTTGATATTTCACTGCAGTGAACACAGCACTTGATATTTCACTAAAGGGGGCGGTCGGGTAGCCTAGTGGTTAAAGCGTTTGCTCGTCACGCCGAAGACCCGGATACGATTCCCGACATGGGTACAATTAGTGAAGCCCATTTGTGGTGTCCCCCCGCCGTGATATTGCTGGAATATTGCTAAAAGTGGCGTAAAACCATACTCACTCACTCACTATTTCACTAAAGAGAACACAGCACTTGATATTTCACTGCAGTGAACACAGCACTTGATATTTCACTGCAGTGAACACAGCACTTGATATTTCACTGCATTGAACACAACACTTGATATTTAACTGCATTGAACATAACACTTGATATTTAACTGCATTGAACACAGCACTTGATATTTCACTGCAGTGAACACAGCACTTGATATTTGACTGCATTGAACATAACACTTGATATTTGACTGCAGTGAACATAACACTTGATATTTCACTGCAGAAAAGAACTCTTGATATTTCACTGCAGTGAACACAAAACTTGACATTTCACTGCAGTGAACATAACACTTGATATTTCACTGCAGTGAACACAGCACTTGATATTTCACTGCAGTGAACACAGCACTTGATATTTCACTGCAGAAAAGAACTCTTGATATTTCACTGCAGTGAACACAGCACTTGATATTTCACTGCAGTGAACATAACACTTGATATTTCACTGCAGTGAACACAGCACTTGATATTTGACTGCATTGAACACAACACTTGATATTTCACTGCAGAAAAGAACTCTTGATATTTCACTGCAGTGAACACAAAACTTGACATTTCACTGCAGTGAACACAGCACTTGATATTTCACTGCATTGAACACAGCACTTGATATTTCACTGCATTGAACACAGCACTTGATATTTCACTGCAGTGAACACAGCACTTGATATTTCACTGCAGTGAACACAGCACTTGATATTTCACTGCAGTGAACACAACACTTGATATTTCACTGCAGAAAAGAACTCTTGATAATTCACTACATTGAACACAACACTTGATATTTCACTGCATTGAACACAGCACTTGATATTTCACTGCATTGAACACAACACTTGATATTTCACTGCAGAAAAGAACTCTTGATATTTCACTAC